TTTCTCCGTGCTCGTAAATGCCAAGTTAATTATCAGTATTTACTGGCCCCTTCTGTGTTCATCAATAACGACTGACTTATCCTTGTTTAAGATGCACCGCCACATACACACACACAAAACAAAATATATACATATATATAAATATATTAAAATAAAAAAACACAGTAATGGGAAGCACAAATAAAACATCACAAATCACTCAGAAAAAAAAACCAATTCCATTCCTCCACAAATAAGTACCCAATCAATGCTTTAAATTTCCCGAAAGGCATCAGAACATCACAATGAAATGTACAGTGGGGAGAACAAGTATTTGATACACTGTCGATTTTGCAGGTTTTCTTACTTACAAAGCACGTAGAGGTCTGTAATTTTTATCATAGGTACACTTCAACTGTGAGAGACGGAATCTAAAACAAAAATCGAGAAAATCACATTGTATCATTTTTAACTAATTAATTTGCATTTTATTGCATGACATAAGTATTTGATCACCTATCAACCAGTAAGAATTCCGGCTCTCACAGACCTGTTAGTTTTTCTTTAAGAAGCCCTCCTGTTCTCCACTCATTACCTGTATTAACTGCACCTGTTTGAATTCGTTACCTGTATAAAAGACACCTGTCCACACACTCAATCAAACAGACTCCAACCTCTCCACAATGGCCAAGACCAGAGAGCTGTGTAAGGACATCAGGGATAAAATTGTAGACCTGCACAAGGCTGGAATGGGCTACAGGATAATAGGCAAGCAGCTTGGTGAGAAGGCAACAACTGTTGGCGCAATTATTAGAAAATGGACGAAGTTCAAGATGACGGTCAATCACCCTCGGTCTGGGGCTCCATGCAAGATCTCACCTCGTGGGGCATCAATTATCATGAGGAAGGTGAGGGATCAGCCCAGAACTACATGGCAGGACCTGGTCAATGACCTGAAGAGAGCTGGGACCACAGTCTCAAAGAAAACCATTAGTAACACACTACGCCGTCATGGATTAAAATCCTGCAGTGCACGCAAGGTCCCCCTGCTCAAGCCAGCGCATGTCCAGGCCCGTCTGAAGTTTGCCAATGACCATCTGGATGATCCAGAGGAGGAATGGGAGAAGGTCATTTGGTCAGATGAGACAAAAATATTGCTTTTTGGTCTAAACTCCACTCACTGTGTTTGGAGGAAGAAGAAGAATGAGTACAACCCCAAGAACACCATCCCAACCGTGAAGCATGGAGGTGGAAACATCATTCTTTGGGGATGCTTTTCTGCAAAGGGGACAGTACGACTGCACCGTATTGAGGGGAGGATGGATGGGGCCATGTATCGTAAGATCTTGGCCAACAACCTCCTTCCCTCAGTAAGAGCATTGAAGATGGGTCGTGGCTGGGTCTTCCAGCATGACAACGACCCGAAACACACAGCCAGGGCAACTAAGGAGTGGCTCCGTAAGAAGCATCTCAAGGTCTTGGAGTGGCCTAGCCAGTCTCCAGACCTGAACCCAATAGAAAATCTTTGTAGGGAGCTGAAAGTCCGTATTGCCCAGCGACAGCCCCGAAACCTGAAGGATCTGGAGAAGGTCTGTATGGAGGAGTGGGCCAAAATCCCTGCTGCAGTGTGTGCAAACCTGGTCAAGACCTACAGGAAACGTATGATCTCTGTAATTGCAAACAAAGGTTTCTGTACCAAATATTAAGTTCTGCTTTTCTGATGTATCAAATACTTATGTCATGCAATAAAATGCAAATTAATTACTTAAAAATCATACAATGTGATTTTTGTTTTAGATTCCGTCTCTCACAGTTGAAGTGTTCCTATGATAAAAATTACAGACCTCTACATGCTTTGTAAGTAGGAAAACCTGCAAAATCGGCAGTGTATCAAATACTTGTTCTCCCCACTGTATTTTGAATTTTGTTCCAGCAATACGGTGCATTAAAACTAAAAGCTGATTAATTTAAATGCTGACATATATGAGACCAAATTGCTATGAAACTATTGAACCATGTTAACACACACTGACATGTGGTATAGGCCAAATCTAAAGCACTAGTTACAGATGTCATTTGATCACTCGTTTGTTGCTAAGAATTTTCCTGCCACCGCAGGAAATGCAGATGAGCTTTGTGATTTAAATAAATTGACTGAAAAACTCCACTAACAAACGGTTATATGAACAGTATTGCACTTTTCATGTAGCCTACTTTTGTGCCAGCTAATAGCCTAACCACAGTTTAAGTAACATTATAGACTAAACACTCAAATCCTGTTGCTGCAGGATTATTTTGCTGTGACTGAATATAGGTCAAATTAAGATCCTACATATGTATGTTATTCCTTAAAATAAGCAATATCTTAAATGAAATCTCTGTATGTACAATGTCCTTAGGCAAGATGGCTAGTCTGGCTAAAGTCAGATAAGCAGTGTACAATATAAGAGGATATACAGGGATTAGTGAAGGACAAAGATACCCATCAGAAATCTTGCTGGGAGAATGATTGGACACAGGGTGCAATAGCATGAATCCTTGTGGCTCAAAAGAGAGAGAGAGAGAGAGTGTTTGTTTGTTTGTGTGTGTGTGTGTGTGTGTGTGTGAGTTGGCCACACTGTAAAGGGGTTACCATAAATTGGACAGTAATTAAAGGCAGCTCGTGGCAAGTAAAATTCTGTATTAAATATTACTGTACACCTACTGTAATATAAACATGGTATCAAAAAGTACTGTGTAATGACACACAGTATAATACCGTAAAATATGCATTCTCACTCATGGGTGCAACAAATATAGCCTCTTACAAGACACACATCAAAACATGTTAATGAGCCAGAAACAACAATACCATGCACCCACTAGTGGTCAAAATGTTTTTAGCGCTCCAGAGATATGGTAAGGTACCCTATTCTGTGGGGTGGAATTACAGTACCATTCGAAATACAGCAATTGTCCCACACTGCACCATAATTTACAGTATGCTGCAGTAAAACGTTAGAGTTTTTTTTTTACTGTTGATAATACCTAAAATTACCGTAGACAGTTTCCGTTACAGTGCAGAGAGAGAAAATACAGTGGCGCACTTCACACACACTGTAACAAAGAGTACGTTTACATGCACACTAATAATTCAATATTAAACTGATTATGGCAGTAGGCCAAGTATGGCAATAGTCATGTAAACACTTTACTCTGCTTATCTTAATCAACGTAAGGTGAAAATTGAAGCATACGCCGATTAAAACACCTGGTTTTCTGAGAAATCTTTTGAAATATTAGGCCATGTAAACACCTTAATCTGCATTCTAGAGGTGTGTTTGATCTGTGCATGTACCAGCACCGGTAGGGCAAGCCTCCCTCTTATACGCGAGTGAAGTGAGTTCAGATAATGTATGCATCTTAGAAATAGTTTTCACATACAAACTGTATATGTCCGAACTCAGAATCAAATAGGCTTTGCAAAAATAACATGGTGGCTGTGGTAGAAAGTACTTTTTTTCTCTGCATTTATTTAAAGGAGAAGTTTACCCAAAATCCAGAAACTTCCAAGTGATTCCATACATTGAAACTAGTTCAGTGAAGTTTGCCCTCTCCCCGTCTCTCTCACTGTAGCGCTATGCTGAAACAGCTGCAAAAATGGGTCACGTGACTCGTGACGTTGCTGGGTGCAGGCCTTGCTCTGTTCCATTGCCAGTGACTTCATGTATTCAGAAATCCAAGAAGTGTGGACAAATTTGTTGTTTTATTGAAAGCCTCTGGCCAAATTAGCTATTTTTGTCAAAAGTACTTTCGGTTTTGAGTCAGGATATGTGAACTTATTAACTTAAATTCCTCCTTTAAGTCCCATCAGGTAGCCGGATTTACATTTTTACATTTTAGTCATTTAGCAGACGCTCTTATCCAGAGCGACTTACAGTTAGTGAATGCATACATTTTTTTTTTCATACAGGCCCCCCGTGGGAATTGAACCCACAACCTTGGCGTTGCAAACGCCGTGCTCTACCAACTGAGCTACACGGGATGATGAATCCATGTAAACAGGATTATTAGGGAAATCATTATTCTTGCAAAGCATGCAAAAGGTTTAAACAAACTATTATATGAATCTGACTATCCACAATAATCAAATCAAATCAAATGTGTATTATTGTGTGCATGTAACCATACTCAATATGTATTTCTCATAGAATAGATTGACAGCACAACATTGTTGAAGGAGCAGCAGGTAGCCTAACGATTAAGAGTGTTGGGCTAGTAACCGAAAGGTCCCTTTGTCGAATCCCTGAGCCGACTAGGTGAAAAATCAGTTGATGTGCCCTTGAGCAAGGCATTTAACCCTAATTGCTCCTGTAAGTCACTCTGGATAAGATCGTCTGCTAAATTACTAGAATTTAAAAATGGATCGCTTTTTCTTTCATTTTTTACACTATTTCAATGAAACATCAGCAATAAAAAATATACTGGTATTGCTGAGTGCCTGATAGGAGATTTGATCACTCTCTCAAACGTCTGGGAAAGTGATAGTGGGCCCAAAGTGCCACCTACTGGTACAACTGACACGACTGGCACACATAGATCCCCAGTCAAGGATAATCATTTTTGTATATTTTTGTGAGCAGGTGAAAAAGATAAACTAACTAAAACTAAAAGCAATACAAGTAATGCAAAACAGATTTACCACTAAGCTATTAGCTGTCCTCTTCAATAATGTTGACTAAGTTTCAAATACAAGATTTTCATATGATACAAAAATGGAAACCTCATAGCACTATATTTCTACAAGCAAGAAATATGAGTTGGCCATAATAAATCGTTTCTAAAAAATAAAAAAAAGAATTGTTATAAACTCGAATTTTGATTGGCTGTTGTACATGAATGACAGTGATCTAAGGATCCGCCTACACCACTGAGAACCGACGAAACTACAATTTGTTCTTTGAGAGGACCAATCAGAATGCCAGATATTGTGCGGTCCACTTTTCTTTATTTTGCCCGTACATGCGCACTTCATTTCGAAAATGGCGGCTGTGCAAGATGGTCAGCTCAATCTGGAGGTCGAAAAAGACATAAAAACAGAAATAACAAACGATGATTCGGGAAATATCAATGCAAACTCTTCGTCACCCGGTTCTACGTCTTCGGGCGGTAAATCGAAATCTCCGGCGGGATCAGGAGAAGATCAACAGACACTGCTCGCGGTGCTGCAATTTCTCAAGAGGAATAAATTGACGGAGTCGGTCGACATTTTGCGGCGAGAAGCGGGCTTATCTGCAGATGCAGATGATTCCCCGATATCCGAGTCGGCGGGAGCTGGATCGAGTGGCGCCCCAAATGTCGGTGCTGATGGGGGTGATGCCAACTCTCTCCTCAGCCGAGTGTCAATCGCCACCCCCGCCGCACTCCAGGCCACCGCACCCCTCGCGCCACCAAAAGGTCTCGTGCGATCATGTTCAAAAGTCATGCGTATTGTTTTTATTTGACTTGTTAGCTAGCTACCCAGCTAAGATACCAAATGCATGATTATAACTTTCATATTCACAAGGGCATGCGATGCAATTGATTTGTTATTGCCAGTTTGCTTACTGTTGAATGAATGAGACACTAGAGAGCTTGACAGGCAGTCCTGAAACTGCTGTTTTTGTTCCTCATAACAGTTGCTGGTAGATGTATGAAAACAGTTATTGCGATAAGACCATAGCCGCGGGAAGTAAAAAAACAGATATTATTTTAAAACAATAGTAAAAAATAGTAATATTTTTTATCAAAAATATTTTCCCACAAAAGTAGTGCACTCGGCCTTTGCTAGTATAAGCGGACTGATATAGAGGTCTGTAATGTGGGGCAAACATTTTTCTTCCAGAATCTCTGCTTTGGCAAAAAAGGTAGTTGTATAATTAAGAACAGTATATTGCAGAATTCAATAGTTGGAATTGTAAGAGTTGTTGTCCTGTCTCTTTCTCTGTGATAGTCATTCTAATTTTTTTCTAATCAATTATATCACGGCAACAGTAGTTATCAGTGTTGTAATCTATACGTCTGATCTGCCACAGTGCCACACTGCCACTAAATGTCGAATCAGGCTAAAGTCGTGCTTCAAATGGCTCCACCCCCTTTTGGGGCGATTTCAGTCAGATTGAAAATCGCCCAGAACTTCTGTCATAGACTCCCATGTAAAATCTATTTTTTTCAAATTTCAGAGCCTTCAATACAATCTCAATGGGTGTCTGTGGGCTTGCACTTACACGCTTTCGTCATACGTTACGTAACCATGAACGTAACTGAGAAAAGAGTGGATTGTTTGAAAGAAGTTCCTTTTTGTCGGCGAACAAATGAAGATAAATTGGCAACGAAACAATTAGGACCTCCCAGACCAAATTTAATAATTCAACAGGTTTCTACTAAATGCGGAAAGTCCTACACCCGAGGATTTTCCAAAAATTGGTACGAACGAAAAAAAGACATTGCCACTCACTCAACTGGATGACGAGGGATACAGGCTAGCTGTCCGCCGCCACAACGATGAGGTTAGTGTTGATAATCACAAGTTTACTGGATGTGGATATGGTGTAATAAAGGCAGTTTATTCAGAGGTAAATATATCTGGAATCGCGTTCACGGACCCGTTCGTCAAACTCTTAAAAATGAACTTGGGCTGGGAATTGCAAGGAACCTCACGATAAGATATATGCATCAGCATTGCGAGTCTCATGATTCTATACGTATTGCGATTCGATACTGTGACTTTATTGCGCACCATATGTCTGTTGCAGAGGGATCAGAAAGCCATGAGAACGAGTTTTGATCAGTCATGGAAATAAAAGTGCTGAAAACAAATTGGCTCCCAATGTGAAAAGATTGAGAACAAGCTATGAAGGAACAATAATGGTGTTTTGGTGCAGGTACAGCCAACTAGCGCTAAAATATTGCGATATTGTCAATACAGTATATCGTAAAGTATCACTATGTAACTCGATTTCTTTCACCCCAATCCCTCAAATTAACGGTAAATAACTTAATTGTTTGCCCCACATTTAGCTAAGATGATTAGCTAGCCAGCTAAAATGTTTTAGTTAGTTAGCAGTCGCATCTACAATAGTTTACTGTCAATAACATGTCTCCAAAAATGACGTGGTGTCTCCAATTGTGTTGACATTTTACAATTGCAATGCGCATCCATGAGTATCCACTTTCTGTAGCTCAGCTGGTAGAGCATGGTGCTTGTAACGCCAAGGTAGTGGGTTCGATCCCCGGGACCACCCATACACAAAAATGTATGCACGCATGACTGTAAGTCGCTTTGGATAAAAGCGTCTGCTAAATGGCATATTATTATTATTATTATTATTATTATTATTATTATTATTATTATCTGAAGAGAGCCCCGAAACATTGTGTGCAGACATTTTATGCAATAAATGAAGTAGGTTCAATCTAGTAGTTCTGATCTTCTGATTGGTCCTGATGAGTTGGGCGAGGTCCCCTGCAGGCTACTGTCACTGTTGCATTGGCTCTGAGTCGGGTTCTCTGTCTTCAAATGTTCAGCCTAAGAGAGGGGATTTTTGTGTGTGTGTGTGTGTGTGTGTGTGTGTGTGTGTTTAACAGTGATGATGTGTGTGTGTGTGTGTGTGTGTTTAACAGTGATGATGTGTGTGTGTGTGTGTTTGTGTGTGTGTGTGTGTCCTCAGAGCAAGAACTCGTGAGTTGGAAGAACTGAGAGGCCTATGGCGTGGGTGTTGTCCTTGGCCACCTGCTGACAAGGCTGACAAGATAGGACCCTTTTGTCCATTGTTATTGGATAGGAACAGAACTTATAACCAGCTCCTGACCTAAATAGATCTTAGCACAACATTTTACTCAACATATCATATTCCATATTCACTATAACAAATATATTTACTACGACATTAGCAAGAACCGCCACATCCTCAGCCGGCTAATCCAGTGTGTGAAGTTTTGCGGAGTGTTTGAGTTAGCTTTGCGAGGCAAAGATGAAACTGAGGGCTCCACCAACCCTGGTAAGCCAACACTTTTGAGATCAGTCAATAAATGCTTCTGGTATTGACTTATATGCTGCCCCTGTCTTCATGTTGTTGCTGGACATATCTTTTTTTAAATGTGTGTAGGTCACCTAAATCATCAGAAAAATTGCCCCTCCTGAGAATTTTTTCAGGAGCCGCCACTGCTAATGGAATCCAGAAAGAACAAAACCCTGTCCTCAAACATTTACATCAAAATGTGCAAAGTTATGGGCAAAGACACAAAACATCCAGATCAAATTAAATATTTTCTTGATAAAATAAAATAGAAAAACCACCATTTACCATCCTTACAAACCAATTAATGTAAATGTACATTACTGTATTGTACACAGGCTGGTCATCTAGGTTTGTACCTGTAGACTTTCCATCACCATGAAGAAAAACAATGAACAATACAGTAATTGAGTACATTGAGACATCAAGTGGTTGTGATGATGTGGCTCAGTTGGTAGAGCATGGCGCTTGCAATGCTAGGATTGTGGGTTCGATTCCCATGGGGGGCCAGTATGAAAATGTATGCACTCACTACTGTAAGTTGTTCTGGATAAGAGTGTCACCTAAAATGGAAAAGGAATGAATAGACCATTTCAGTTTTCACATAGAAGTAAGTTGCATTTGTATTTCAAGAAACTGGAAAAACATATTTCAAGCAAGTATTTCTATGTTCCACAAATATCAGATTAACTGTTTTGTACAGATAATGATCAGACTCAAGTTACAAATGCAGGTAAACACTCAAATACATTTAGTTTAAATGTTTTCACAAAGTTAGTGCACTGGGCCTTTACTAGTCCTGTCGGCAAAAAAGAATCGCAGCACCCCATCCCCAAAACGACTTCCAGTGGCTATGGATAAGACCATAAGTTATATTACTATTAGTTAGCTACTCTAATAAACTCAAAAAAATAAACGTCCTCTCACTGTCAACTGCGTTTATTTTCAGCAAAACTTAACATGTGTAAATATTTGTATGAACATAAGATTCAACAACTGAGACATAAACTGAACAAGTTCCACAGACATGTGACTAACTTAAATTGAATAATGTGTCCCTGAACAAAGGGGGGGTCAAAATCAAAAGTAGCAGTCAAGTATCTGGTGTGCCCACCAGCTGCATTAAGTACTGCAGTGCATCTCCTCCTCATGGACTGCACCAGATTTGCCCGTTCTTGCTGTGAGATGTTACCCCACTCTTCCACCAAGGCACCTGCAAGTTCTCAGACATTTCTGGGGGGAATGGCCCTAGCCCTCACCCTCCGATACAACAGGTCCCAGACGTGCTCAATGGGATTGAGATCCGGGCTCTTCACTGGCCATGGCAGAACGCTGACATTCCTGTCTTGCAGAAAATCACGCACAGAACGAGCAGTATGGCTGGTGGCATTGTCATGCTGGAGGGTCATGTCAGGATGAGCCTGCAGGAGGGGTACCACATGAGGGAGGAGGATGTCTTCCCTGTAACGCACAGCGTTGAGATTGCCTGCAATGACAACAAGCTCAGTCCGATGATGCTGTGACACACCGCCCCAGACCGTGACGGACCCTCCACCTCCAAATCGATCCCGCTCCAGAGTACAGGCCTCAGTGTAACGCTCATTCCTTCGACGATAAACGCGAATCCGACCATCACCCCTGATGAGACAAAACCGCGACTCGTCAGTGAAGAGCACTTTTTGCCAGTCCTGTCTGGTCCAGCGACGGTGGGTTTGTGCCCATGGGCAACGTTGTTACCGGTGATGTCTGATGAAGACCTGCCTTACAACAGGCCTACAAGCCCTCAGTCCAGCCTCTCTCAGCCTATTACGGACAGTCTGAGCACTGATGGAGGGATTGTGCATTCCTGGTGTAACTCGGGCAGTTGTTGTTGCCATCCTGTACCTGTCCCGCAGGTGTGATGTTCGGATGTACCGATCCTGTGCAGGTGTTGTTACACGTGGTCTGCCACTGCGAGGACGATCAGCTGTCCGTCCTGTCTCCCTGTAGCGCTGTCTTAGGCGTCTCACAGTACGGACATTGCAATTTATTGCCCTGGCCACATCTGCAGTCCTCATGCCTCCTTGCAGCATGCCTAAGGCACGTTCACGCTGATGAGCAGGGACCCTGGGCATCTTTCTTTTGGTGTTTTTCAGAGTCAGTAGAAAGGCCTCTTTAGTGTCCTAAGTTTTCATAACTGTGACCTTAATTGCCTACCGTCTGTAAGCTGTTAGTGTCTTAACGACCGTTCCACAGGTGCATGTTCATTAATTGTTTATGGTTCATTGAACAAGCATGGGAATCAGTGTTTAAACCCTTTACAATGAAGATCTGTGAAGTTATTTGGATTTTTACGAATTATCTTTGAAAGACAGGGTCCTGAAAAAGGGACGTTTTTTTGTTGTTGTTTATTTTCATTCTTCTAACAACTACTTCTGTGCTTTTACAGTGGTGGCAGCATCAGGTGGGGAAGACCAACCAGACGTCAACGTTGTCTTGTCAGCCTATAGCCAGCAGGGAGACCCTGTCCTGTACCCACTCTATTATAATGGCCTGAAGAAGTTTATTGAGTCTGTCCTGGACTGTCACAGAGCCGAACTCTCCCAGGTCTTCTACCCACTGTTTGTCCACATGTATCTGGAGCTGGTCTACAACAACCACGAGAATGAAGCTAAACAGTTTTTTGAAAAGTAAGTGTTGTGGACTGGCAGTGATTTTGCTCCCTTGCAGCATCCCCCAAGTTCCAAAGTGCCTGCCTGTCAAGTACATGTCTTTATTGATTTTAGGTCCAACTGGTGTATTGATTTGTCAGGGACTTGTATTGTTCCACAATCAAATGGAAAACAACCTGTTCTATTTCTAACGGCATAACTTAGTGATACTGTTACACTATGCATGCATTACTTAGATGTTAGATCCACTAACTCTTCTCCCCGCTGTCTCCCTACCTCAGGTTCAGCGGGGACCAGGAGTGTTACTATGAGGAGGACCTCCGCATCCTCTCCAGCATGTCCAAGAAGGAACACATGAAGGGAAATGAGACCATGCTGGACTTCAGGACCAGCAAGTTCGTCCTTCGCATCTCCCGAGACTCCTACCAGGTAGGTAGCCTTGGTGGGCCAGCAACCGGAGGGTCGCCGGTTCGAATCCCAGCACTGACTGGGGGAAAAACTGAAATGTCAAGGTCTCTGTGGCAGTTGACAATAACGTATTGTATGTTATTTTACTAGCTGCTGAAGAGGCACCTGCAGGAACGTCAGAACAACCAGATCTGGAATATTATACAGGAACATCTCTATATTGATATATTTGACGGGATGCCTCGGAGTAAAAGTCAGATTGATGCCATGTCGGGCAGTCTGGCGGGGGAGGCCAAGAGAGATGCCAACAAAGCCAAGGTGGGTGGGGGTATGTGTGTGTGTGTGTAGGGGGGGGGAGTGTGTGGATGTGTGTGTTGGTGTGAGTGAGTGATGCTGTATAACTGGGTTGTTTTAAAGGGATAGTGTTATCAATGTATGTGTGAGCAAGCCAGTGAGCAATACTTTATTTTAGATATGCAGTACTGTATATGCTGATTGAGAGAATTATACTATCTGTACTGACTACCACTCCTGGATGTTGTTGTGCAGGTGTTCTATGGTCTTCTGAAGGAGCCAGAGATCGAGGTACCTCTGGATGATGAGGATGAGGAGGCAGAGAACGAGGAGGGCAAACCCAAGAAGAAGAAACCTAAGAAGGACAGCATGGGCTCCAAGAGCAAGAAACAGGATCCCAATGCACCTCAACAAACTAGGTACATCACCACTGACACATATTTATTAGTCAGGGGTCGTATTCATTAGTGCACACCCTAGTGAAACGTTTTGCTAGGGGAAAAAAAAATGTGTGTTTCTTATTGGACCAGTCCAGGTAGTCCCTGTTTCAGTTAGTTTTCATTTGGTGCCTAATGAACACGACCCAGATTTCCTTATGTTTCAGAGACCACAAACAACATTTGTACTGTATTCTGCACTAGAGTTAGCTACGAAGCTTGTTAGCATTTGCAGTCCCTCCCCATTGAAACAACTGTTACTGCCTGACTATGACTTATGAATAAATTGACCATGTTACTTTTTAATATCCTAGAATCCCCCTCCCCGAGCTGAAGGACTCTGACAAGCTGGATAAGATCATGAACATGAAGGAGGCCACTAAGAAGATCCGTCTGGGCCCAGACAACCTACCCTCAATCTGTTTCTACTCCTTCCTCAACGCTTACCAGGTCAGACATGCTTGGATATGGATTTTGAATGTTTGAATGACAAAACTTTATTAGTGTTTCCATTTAGAAAAAAACTGTTATTTAACATTGTGAATAAAACTTTTATTCACAGTATTATCACAAAACAGAGGTAACCTATTTGGTCTTGACCTTTGACCTGTAGGGTCTGACAGCAGTGGACTTCACAGATGACTCCAGTCTGATCGCGGGGGGCTTCGCTGACTCCACCGTGAGGGTGTGGAGCGTCACACCCAGGAAACTACGCCGGGTCAAATCTGCAGCAGGTAAATGACAGTGGTGACCACAGAGATAATATACAATACATCACATGTTCATCTAAGCACATGTTATAACCAAGGCTGAAAGTAGAATTCCACAAGCCATTTATAAACATTGTTGAAGTTGAGAGCTAAAGCTTGCACATAAGTTGATAGTAACCATGACTTTAAATCTGCTCCCTCCCTCTCTCTCTTCTCCCTGTAGACCTGAGTAATATTGATAAAGAGTCTGATGACGTGTTGGAGAGGATCATGGATGAGAAGACGGCCAGTGAGTCTAAGATCCTGTATGGACACAGTGGACCAGTATACGGCATCAGCTTCAGCCCTGACAGGTAAGATGTTATAAAGTGATAATTGGGCGGACACTTTCCCAAACTCGTTTTAAACCTGGTCCTGGACTATGAAGAATGCTCAATGGAGCAATGTCTAAGGCAGGGGTGTCGAACTGATTTAGCCACGGGGGCCGCATTCGGTCTTCAATGAGGTCTGGAGGGCCTCACTGAAAATGTCTTATTTCCTTGTCATCAACATTTTCTAAAAAATAGAATTTTAGTTGCTCCCTGACTGTCTAGTGATTATTAGCGAGCTGGACAGTCAAGAAACTACACAGTTTTGATTTTTTGTTTGACACCCCTGTTCTAAGGGCTTTTTAGTCCAGGACTAGGCTTGATCTGTGTCTGGGGAAACTGGACCTGGGTGTATCATGTAGTGTGGTGTATTGGACTAATGTTAAAGGAGAGGCAAGGATCCATAGTTTGAATGAATTGTTAACTTCATAGAGATTTCAAAACACTAGAGTGACTGTCCTTTCTTGTGTTCTTATTTCTACGGTTAACTTCAATTCTCCTCTAATCATGTATTTTAGGAACTACCTGTTGTCCAGTTCTGAGGACGGTACGGTCAGATTGTGGAGTCTGCAGACATTCACCTGTCTGGTGGGGTATAAAGGACACAACTACCCTGTCTGGGACACTCAGTTCTCACCCTATGGGTACTACTTTATCTCTGGGGGACATGACAGAGTCGCTCGGTAAGAACCCCTTATTAATACCATACCTAATGCTTATATTATATAATATTTAATCAATTAATGTTTTAATGCAACTGATGAATGGCACTCTTTGGGCCTGTTTCCTGGACACATTAAGCCTTTTCCTGGACTAAAAAGGATGTTCAATGGAAATCCTCTATTGAAAGTGCTTTCAAGGCTTAATTTATGTCTAGAGAAAAGCCTGAATGTAATTTGGTTTTGTTTACCTGATGGATCACAAGAAAACAGCCACTGGTCTTTTGAGGTTATGTGTTGTCTTCTTCTGCAGTCTGTGGGCGACGGACCACTACCAGCCCCTGCGTATGTTCGCTGGTCACCTGGCTGACATCACGTGCACCCGCTTCCACCCCAACTCCAACTACGTGGCCACAGGTTCAGCTGACCGTACCATCCGCCTCTGGGACGTCCTGACTGGCAACTGTGTCCGCATCCTCACGGGTCACAAGGTACAAAGAGTTCAAGGTCACCTGGGGATCTGTTCTCTCCCAATATAATGTCTATAGGATGGTTTGGTGTTGTTCAAGGTCATGTTCAGTAGGCATCAAATGGGAGACAACACCTTGAAAGGGAAGAACTACCTGAATTCATTTTATTTCACGACCCTGAGTAACATGTCCTTCTGTACAAATGTATACTGTATGTATATTTTTTTTTAAAAAGTTATGTTTGTTGCATACTGTACACAACATGAGAGTAATGTGTGATGTTACTGAACCTCCATCTCAATAAACTGGTTTGGTTCCCAGGGCCCCATCCATTCCCTGGCCTTCTCCCCCAATGGGAAGTTCATGGCCTCGGGAGCAACTGACAGCAGGGTTCTACTGTGGGACATTGGTCACGGCCTGATGGTCGGAGAGCTGAAGGGACACACTGACACCATCTACGCCCTCAAGTTCAGCAGGGACGGAGAGATACTAGCCTCAGGTTGGTGTCCCTTTAGTCTACTAACAATTTAACTGGTATACAATATCCTTTTCACATTACTGAACCCTGTATTGTGCTGGCCTGGTCATGCATCCACCATACTTGATTGAACAATGTGAAAAGAAAATATCTGAGCAAGCACAGTATGGTTTAGGAGTAATGTATGTTTGTAGTTTTCCCCCCTTATATAATGAAATATTTTCCAGGCTCAATGGATAACACTGTTAAACTGTGGGATACACTGAAGGCCTTTGATGATGTGGAGCTGGATGATTTCACCGCGGCAACGGGTCACATCCATCTACCAGAGAACTCACAGGAGCTGTTGCTAGGCACCTACATGACCAAGTCCACCCCTGTCATTCACTTGCACTTCACCCGCAGGAACCTACTGCTGGCTGCAGGGGCCTACAACCCATGAGGACATTCAGAGAACATTCTTAGAACCCCCCCAAAAAAACTAGGGTTGTGTGATGAAATTATCAATATCCAACCATAGTGAAAGACGGTGGATCAAAACAAATGCCCAACCAGTTGAATCCGCTAACTAAAGTTAATCTACTGTGATGCAGCCCTAAGAAACATGGTTATTGTTCCAAAAGCTGCAGCTCCATCAAGCTGATCTAGGATCTGATTCTAACCCCACCCTGCCTAAAATGGCTCTGGGGTGAAGTTGCCCCTAGATACAGATCCAGGATCAGCTTGTCCCCACAAATCTTAATCCTTAGTAGGGAAATGCAAAACTGACCCAGGACCAGTGTCTAGAGGAAACTTCACCCTACTCCGCTAAAAAGAGTGCCATTACTAGCCTATTAAAGAGACCATGTTTTTGTCACTGCCACAAAGACAGCTTTATGACAAGTCATGCTGTATAGATAGTATTTTATACCAGTGCATATTGTGTAAATAAAACACTTTTTAATGACTTGGTTTGTTAAACTTGACATTGTTTTTATTGTTAATAACACGGTGATGCCAAATAATATGGCCTTATTTCTTACAAGCACATCCAGCTGCCGCTAAACTTCCGACCACTATACTACAGAACAGTCAGGACACCTGTGGGGAAACAAGAACATATGGGAAATATACAGTTAGCTTTCCACCAAGCAGGTACATACAAAGACTCCTTATACCTGATTATAGTCAACTACACATCTAAATAAAATGTCTTCACAAAATGATCCAATCTTAACAGTTCACTAGACAAAATGGGTATGAGAAAAAAAACTGATCCTATCCAATACTCACATCACTTTGCCGTGACAGCCGCCTGTTTCTTGGGCTTCAACTTGAAGAAGAGGACGATGGTGGCTATGCTTGCATATGTGAGCAAGACACACTGTGGACAGAATATCACATGCATGACCTTTCTGAGAATGTCAAATGATTGTCAATCAACTGTGTAAGATGGTGTACAATCACAACTCCACATGGCAGCATTTCATTCATGCATGAACTTACGTTCCTCCTGCCTGTGATTGTGTATGCATTGAAGTACTTGGCAAAGCCAGTAAACTGGTGACTGGTTCCTGCGTCGTGTCCGCCCATGTTGGATAGTAGCTTGTCCTGAGGGAAATAGATTACTCAGTCAATGACAATGTATTGGTCCATGGGCCGGCGCACAATTGGCCCAGCGTCATCCAGGGTAGGGAATGGCCGGCAGGGATGTAGCTCAGTTGGTAGAGCATGGCGTTTGCAACGCCAGGGTTGTGGGTTCGTTTCCCACGGGGGGCCAGAATGAAAAATAAAAATAAATAATGTATGCACTAACTAAGTCGCTCTGGATAAGAGCGTCTGTTAAATGACTAAAATGTAAATGTATTGATAACAATGACAATAGGAGGATTGCAGAGGGCAAGTAAAAAGTAATGCCAACCACTGAAATTATGGATAGGCCTATTGGTAGATATCCAACACCGATGTGCAAGTAGTACTTATTGTACTGGGGAAAATGATTACTCAAGACAGTTTGCCTGTCAAACATTGAAGCCCAGTAGCCCTAGTTGACAAGCCTGACGGCCTGCAAGCCAGCCAGAAGAAACAAATAGTCTAGCTAGGTACAGCAATTATATAATGCAATTGTATGGTACTATTCAACCCAAAGCGGACAGCTATATTTGTGTTGGTATTGCTTGTTTGTTAGTCGGTTGACTTTCATTCAAAAACAGTAGCTGGCCAGGCAGTAGCTGGCTACCGCCAGAAGCTAGAGGTTAACGTTAGCAAACTATCTGGTTTGAGCTAGCTCGCTAACGTTAGCAATATATTGGCTAGCTAGCAAGATTAGTTGGTACTGACAAACAACTAAACTGGTATTTTAGAGACACCACAAGCAACAGCTTCCTGAACAACGCTGTTATAAAACGTAGGGAAGTATATAAAGCCAGATTTTATATGAATTGTCACTATTCTTACCTTCAACACACAACCCTTGCGCACCGAATTGAACAAGTGCCCTTCAACGAGAGAGGCCGAAATGCAAAATTTACCAGGAAATCCCGCCTACTCTCTACAACGCATGTTCAGTGGTTAGCATTTATTTAACCAATATGTGTGGACGAAGCTAACGTCAGTCAAGGGATAACCCCGCCTTTTAAACTAAAATTGGACAATGATAGGTTTGTTGAAACGCCAATCATTCGAAAGACGGACGTGAATGGACAATTAGGGAAACGCCCACTGAAGTCAGTTTCCGGTCTGAAAACATGGCGTGCTTCTGATCCACACATGTGAGCTTGCATACCAACTTCTGAACTGGATATTTAAAAGAAAAAGGTATAATTTGCTGGTGGATGTTACATTTTAATAAACATGTACAATCGAGGAAAACGTTGGCACGTGTTGAATGTTGTATATATATATTTTTAACCGATTGTCTGGTTTGTTTAGCTTGCATGCTAATGGACTGTAGCTTACTAGCTAACGTTAGCAATGCTGCTGATGTTTTGGAATGTGCTAGTGGATGTAACTAACTAGCAAGCCATCAAGATTCTAGCTAAATATTTTGTGAAGCAGAAGGTAAATAATACACCCGATGTGCATGTAACAATGCCAAAGTGTTCACAATCAAAAGCTTTATCATAGGTGTATTAGAAATAGTCGATATATGAAACTGTGCCCTTGTCACCCCCTTTCTTCTCTGATTGATAACATTCACTGTGTAATTGGTCTCTGTAGACATTTAAATCAGTAAACTACCATGGCATCAACGGAGGAAGACTTCCCTCGTGGAGGGAAAGCCAAGCAGACCACTGAGAGTAAAGCTGAACCTGTGAGAAGGCATACAGAAGTGGACAATCTGTTCGAGGTAAAAAAAAAAAAAAAAGTGTAGCCGATTGACACCCTGGACCAGAGCTAAGCTTAAATGTGCATCTCAAACAGTATTCTGTCTGTCAGTAAAGATACTATTGTGGTTGACTTTTAAGACACATGAACCAGAAGAATCCAAGAAAAGGAAGGGACAGAAAGAGGATACCTTGAAGAAAGCTAAGAGGCAAAAGACGAGCAAAGAGGAGGCTCTGAAGCTCAATACAACAACCTCTGTAGATATCCTACAGTTAAAGGTAAGTTCAATCAATAACATACTTTTTAACATTTGATATTTCTCTGGCATCTCCTTTCCTTTGCACACCCTTTGAATGTGATCTGAACCTGGGTCATGTTCATAAGGGCACACCGTAGCAATAAAAAAAAAAAAAAATTGGATAAGTCCAGAGAGTCCCTCCCTGTTTCAGTTAATTTTCTTCTGTTTGATCACTAATGAACACAATCCTGTTTTTTTACCCCCAGAGCCTGAAGGTGGGTACCCTACTGCTGGGCTGTGTGAAGGAGGTGGCAGATTTTGAGGTGACAATTAACCTGCCCAGCGGCCTTTTGGGATACCTGAACATTTCCAATATCTCGGACTCGTACACCAAGACATTGAGTGACCAACTGGACTCTGAAGAAGCAGAGGTAACACATTTAATGTAACTCCTACGAGGGGATTGGGTCTGTCTTATATAGGTAAAATACTATGCAGTTGTTTTGACATGTCTAATAAGGCAGTTCTGAGGGCATGTCTACACTTGACACATAGATGCTACTTCAGAATACGATAATCATTGGAAAGACAAGTCTAGGCGCACAAAAGTCGCATTGAGGTCGCATTGGGTTCATATAAGTCTGACCACCACAGAGACGCATTGTGTGCAGATTTCTCCTCAGTCTGGATGCAATCAGGCTACTGAAAGCGCATACAGAGGGCGACGTCATCAGCATTCTAACGGCAAGTCTTTAGAAACTAGTTTTTTGGGAGCGAGAGATACCTTTTCATTATCTCTTAGGACCGACTGACCCATGTTCAACTGCTAGCTTGCTAGCTAGCTACAGAGGCTAGTTGACTAGTTACAGTATTTTGCTACTGCCATCAAGTTGGTGTGTTATCATCTTTTGCCTATGCCACCGTTTGCAGAATGCTTACTGGCGCAGGAAAGGGAATCCGGACACAATGTCGACACGGTAGACACATTTAATTTTAGTGTAGAGTAGATTCATGATGTGTTCGGAATTCCATGATCAAAACTCCTTGATCAGAATACAAAAACTGAATTAACTGTAGTCTACACACGGCCTGAGAGGTCTCATCTTCACATTACATGATCTTTTGAAAAACGATGTGCTCCGAGTTCAAAAAGCTTATATACAGCTTTAATAATTAATTTTTTTGCTTGGTGCACCGGGGTCTCCCGACCTCACGGAGTTCAGAAAAAAATACCTGATACTGTACGAATGAGGTGTGAACAACACACCCTAACTGATCCACTTTGTTCTTTCTCTCCAGGAGATCTTCTCTCTCCCCAGCCTCTTCTCCCCGGGCATGCTGGTCAGGTGTGTGGTAGCCAGGTTGGACACTGCCAAAGGAGGATCGGTCAGCATTCAGCTGTCAATCAATCCCAAAGAGGTCAACAAGGGCTTGAGTACTAGCTCTCTGAAGGCTGGCTTGGTGAGTCAACACATACTGTATACGTGATATAGTACAAATTAAAAACAGGCACTCCTCTTCAGTGATGATACGATGACGAGTCGGAACGGGGCACAGTCTGTCTCGGGGGTCACTGAGTCAGGGTCACGTTCTGTGTCTCTGGGTTCAGTTCCCCAGAGCGGTGTGTCTCTTCAGTTGAAGACATAGAGGCATTTGTCTGAGAAGAGCTAAATATGGAAAGCAAAGAAAAGTTGTGATATCCTGTATATGATTTGAGGTAATGTTTTAGGCTTAGACTGATGTGTCATGTTTTTGTTTCAGATCCTGAGTGGTTGTGTGGAGAGTATTGAGGATCACGGCTACCTGGTTGACCTCGGCATCAAGGGAACCAAGGCCTTCCTGCCAAAGCAGGCAGCCAAAGACAAAACCAATAGTCCCAAAGGTATCTAAAGAGTCTCCTTTCACATAAAATATAATACACATTCTATTCCATGTCATGCTGTCAGTTTCTCCAGAAGTCTTGATAAATTTTTTCAATGTACTCAGTAGACGTAAAAAGTTATTGTTATTAACTGCGTTGATTGTGACTTTGCTGGGTCATGTTCATTGTGGCTCGCAATGGAAAACATTTTAAAATGTTTTGCAACGGAAAATGAAAATGAGAATTTCTTATGGGACAAGTCCCGGTAGCCCCTTTCTGTTTTTTCCCCATTTGGTGCCTAATGAACACAACAACCCTGGCGTTGCAGAGCTGAAGGTGGGCCAATACGTGACTTCTCTGTTGGAGGAGGTGAAGAACGATGGGCGTGTGGTCCGTCTGTCCGTCAGCCCCACGGCGGTGGCTCAGACTGTTGCCGACACAGAGCACGGCTGGACCCTTACCAACCTGCTGCCTGGCCTACTGGTCAAAGCCCAGATCAAAAAGGTACAATGATTTAAAACTCTTACATTCTAACAACAATCTTTATACATATTACCTGGTCAAAGCATAGAGATGTGTTGGCTTATACCTATAATTATAAATGAACAATTACACAGTTTCGTGGCTTAGTATTGTTGGCAAATGTCTCTTGTTGCTTGACGTATAAACTTTTTGTAATATTTATAGCAACTAGAGAACTTGCCATTTAGTATATCTGAGATCTCTTTTTTTAGGTCAATAATATGTTAATGTCCTGTTTCATTGTGGTTGACCCTGTGGTTCTAGGTGACCCTACATGGTCTGATCCTGGAGTTCCTCTCCTCCTTCATCGGCCTGGTGGACTTTATGCACCTGGAACCAGAACAGGCCTCCACATTCAACGAGGGAGACAATGTAAGAATTTACAGTCTATTAGGCTACTGTCAATCAGTCTGTCACACAGTTAGATGAGACAGAATGGTATAGAATGTGTCAGAATTTGCATCATATGAAAGAGTTTCTCAACAGTAATCGTACATGCACATCTGCAAGAGTTGTACATATTTCTACCTCAAATAACAAAACAAAAACAAGTAATTCATGAGGATTTCATACTGCCGAATTATGACTGTAATCTAGTTCAGATGTTACATTCAGCTGACCTTTGACCTCTTACCCCTTTCTCTCTCCCAGGTAAAGGCCTGTGTCCTTTATGTGGAGCCATCCACCCGGCTGGTGGGCCTTTCCCTGCGCAGCCACTTGCTGCAGCCAGGGGGCGACGTGGAGCTGGTGGCCACTGAGAGGATAGGGGAAGTGGCACATGGCTGCAAGATGACCGCTCTCCATCACCTGTCTGGAGCCATGCTGGAACTGCCTGACCAGACTGTGGTGTTTGTACATGTGAGTCCATGTTAGTAGACCATACTTATGTTGTGTCTTGTGAGTTTAAGTACCAACTCGGGTCTTCGTACATGTTAGTTCCTATTGTTGGTGGACCATATTGGTGGTGTACCATACTAACTATAGCCAAGGCCCTATTTGTAGACCTGGTAGAGCACCTTACTACTGCCAAAGTGCTATAGATGAGCCACTATAGGGCAAAAACAGCCCTATGTGTTGTAGAGAATGTTGCTACTGTTTTGGATGAGGAAGTTCAGCTATGGTGAGAAACTAATGATGAGCCCATGCCCCTTGGATCATGTAACAAAACCAACATTAAAAACAATGCAAAACCTCAAACCCATGACTGTTTTGACCAGACCAGACCTGGCCCAGTGACAGTGGACTAATGTGGTCTGTGAGTGGCCTAGTGGCAGTGGTTTGATTTGATCCCTCTGTTTCTCCCGTCTCCAGAGGAACCACATGAAGGAGCCCAGGGAGGCGTTCAACCTGAACCGTGTCATGGCCAAGCCTGAACACACCTGTAGGATCATGGACTTCAGCCCCATGGAGCAGGTGCACCTGGTCAGCCTGCGCCAGTAAGTGTGTGTGTGGATGGACATCCTGTAGTCTAATGATTTACATCAACACTTATTATTATATTATTATTAACCTTCAATTCATTATATTTAAATATTTTCTATCAAAATTAAGAGAACCCAATGAATACATTTATTAAATTAAATTGTATTTTTCAAATTATCTTTCTCAAAAATGTTTGTATATTGTCCCATATAATAATCTGTATTCTTAATTGTTTGTTTGGGGTGACCCCACTGCAATTCCCAAGCGACCCCACTAGGGGTCACGAACCCGACTTTGAATAGCACTGCTGTAGTGTGCGCGTGAAAGCCCTGTTGCAAATGTGTGTGACGTTTTCAATTCCATTCAAGACATCCGTTGGAAAGGACGTATGTTTGTTCCAGTTTGTAACCTTGCGGTCTTACCTATAGGAGCATCATTAATGCCCCGTTATTCAGAAGATACCATGACATCCAACCTGGACAGATTGTTCAGGTAAGATATTTTATATTTTTAGTTTCTCTCTCTCTCTCGCACAACACCTCTGAAAGGTCTTCAAAAAAAGATACCACATTAGCCCATTAAAGCACAATTGTAATAGAATGTGTGTGTGTGTGTAGGGTTGCAAAATTCTGGTAACTTTCCTAGGTTTTCTAGAAATCCAGGTTGGGGGATTCCAGATTATTTGCTCCAGATTCCAGGAACCTTCCAACTGGAATTTCTGGAACACTAGGAATGCACAATTCCCAGGTTGTGTGTGTTTAACAGAACTTGTCCTCCCTCTCTCCCAGGGCACAGTGACGTCCCTCCAGAGCCATGGCATGATGGTGAAGGTGACAGACTACATCAGAGGCCTGGTTCCCCGGACACACCTCTCTGACATCATCCTCAAGAACCCCGAGAAGAAGTACGCAGTGGGCATGACCATCAAGTGCCGGGTCAGTAGTGCTGTGTAACATCTCACCTTTAGAAAGGGTCAACTGTGGTGACCTTTAACCTTGGCGAGCCAACCATTTATTAAATAAACAGATACTCATTATTTTTGTTGTTGCGGATATTAGCTGTGTTTGTGTGTGTACGGTGTAGGTTAATCTATCTAATAAGTAGATGAAAAAGCATCTTGTTAACTTCGTGTGCTTGCTTGTCTGGTTTGCTGTTTAAGCCCTTATTTCAAAAGTGTGTGTAACTGTGTCCCTCCCATCTGTCTGTCTCAGGTGTTGTCGGTGGATCCACAGGAGAAGAAGCTGACCCTAACCAGGAAGAGGGCCCTGGTAGACTCCACCCTCCCCCTGTTCCTGACCTACGAAGATGCCCGCCGTGGTCGCGTCTCCCACGGTTTCATCGTCTGCGTCAAGGACTTTGGCTGCATCGTCCGTTTCTACGGCGAAGTCAAGGGGGTGGTGCCCCCCAACGAGCTCAGCACGGAGCCGGTGATAGTTCCTGAGAACATGTTCTACGTCGGACAGGTGAGGGGAAACAAAATGGCTGCCTGGAACTTTTCTGTTTCTTGATCATTTTTATGTGTTGTAGCTTTATTATTTGTATGTGTTCAACTTGTGATATAGGCTAATTGTCCTCTTGAATAACTTTGAAGTAGCCTACTGACAGCTCTTGAACTTTGACACATAAAACAGTCACTTTAAGTAAAGTTCTTCCACCAGTTTGTCTTGCCGGTGTCAGAAAAGGTTGTACTTCTGTTTCAAACTTCTGTATCAAAACAGGGAAGTTTAGACAGGCAGCCAAATTCTGATCTCTTTTTCACTAAATGGTATTTTGCCCAATCAGATCTGAAAAAGATCTGATGTGATTGGTCAAAATACCAATTAGTGGAAAAAATATCAGAATTGGGCTGCCTTTCTAAACGCAGTCTTAATGGCTACCTTGGTTCTCTGTTCTATTCAGGTGGTGAAGGCTAAAGTGCTGAACTGTGATGTGGAGAAGGAGAAGCTCCTTCTGTCCTTCAAGGCAGTGGCAGGAGGAGACACTGAGGGACCGCCTAAAACCAAGTTTGACTTTGAGGTTGGGAAGGTAGGAAAATGGCAGCACATCCTTTCATATTGTTAACACATATAATCATATTTTTTTTACAAATTCAGAAATGGTCTCTCTTTAAATAGTTGCATGTTCTATGCAGTTGTTAAATGTTTTAGGTTAATCTCGGTTGTTAGCTTGGAGTCTAAACTGATCTTTGCATTCTGTTTTTGTCTTTTTATTGTTTTAGAAAGTGGAGGTTAAGGTGGTGAGTAAAGTCCTTACCGGTTTGGAGGTGTCCATTCTGCCAGAGGAGACCACCGCCTTGCTACCCACGATGCACTTCTCCGACCACGTGTCCAACTGCCCATTGCTGTGGGAGGGGCTGCAGGAGGGTGACATCATCTCTAACATTGTCTGCCTCAGCAAGAACAGACAGAATATTGTATCCTTTTCATACTCTTTTAAACTTCAGATTGTTCACTTACCTTCACACATTGATTTCAGACACAAAGTCGAAAACGTAACAGAACACTCATAAGTGTGGCTGAATGTTGTGTTTGTCTCACCATTGCTGTTGGCTGTCGTGGTTGGTTGTGTTTTCCACCTAAGGCCTGTGTTTAGAATGTAATGGCTATACCAAGGAAACGACTACCTCATACTAAAGGACATCATAACCACTTTTCACTTGTACAACCACTTAGTACCTTAACCCTGCCTGTCTCAAGACCCTGACCAAAAAGCCCACTGTAAAGTCAGTCCTGGAGGAGGGGGACGTGGTGGCTAAGGAGTTCTCTGACATCACAGTTGGGATGCAGCTGATTGGCTGGGTCAAGAACATCATGCCCTATGGAGTGTTTGTGGAGTTCCCCTATGGCCTGGTGGGCCTTGCCCCTAAAGCGGTGAGTTAGTAGGGAAGGAGTTACTAGTGAGCGTTAATGAGAGTTAGTGTGAGTTAGCCACAGGCAATTGGAGTTAGTGGGAGTGCTATGGCATTAGTGGGAGGACATTGGAATTTAGTAAGAGTTAATGGGAGCCAATGGGAGTTAGTAGGGGTCAATGGGAATTAGTTGGCTAAGAATATATTATGCATTTTAAGTTTGTTGAAAAGGTGTAATCACTGTGACAAAGATCCACAAGGATCTGAAGCTCAATCATATGGTGGACCAAAGAAATACAGTCGGAACAGATTTTCTTTCAGGATTCCTCTCTATGTAGAATTTATGCAGCTCACCTCTCCTTTCTCCTTCAAATCATTAATATTGTCTAAAGTCCATTAGTATAGAAGAATTTATATTGACATACTCTTTCTCCTCTAGGCCATGAGTGACAAGTTCGTCAGCGACACGGCTGCTCACTTCCTGCTGGGCCAGACGGTGGTTGCCAAGGTGACCAACCTGGACGAGGAGAAGCCCAGGTTCCTGGTCAGTCTCAAGGTGTCAGAAGTCACCTCCTCTGAGAGAGACAGCCAGGCCAGGCTGATCCGAGGCCTGCAGGAGAGGAAGGCCGTGATGGAGATGATGGCAAGCAGAGGTACCTGTGTTGAGTTAGAACGTTGTCAACTGCTCTAGGAACTATTACTTTTCTTACATTCGCTAAATTCCCTTTTCCTAGTAGGTTAAAAAGAGCTATTCCAATCAAGTTGGATCAAATGTATAATGCTAAGAGTTACCTTTAACTCTCGCTCATTTCATGTTCCTCCTCTCTCCTCCCCCTGTCTCTGACAGGTGACTCTGACCTGCTCAAGCAGCTGTCTGCGGTGACCATAGGCCAGAAGATGAAGATGAGCGTAGATGAGGTGAGGGAGGACGGGAGTGTCACCTTCAAGTCAGACGAACTCAGCGCAGCCACCGTACTGGCCAACAAGGACCATGCGCCGGGTGAGTATTCACTATCCGTCCAATCAGGGTTGGGCTCAATCCCCTTTCAATTCAGTCAATTCGGGAAGAGAATTCAAATGACAATTGACTACATTTAAATGGAATTGACCCTGCACCCATTGGAACTTCCATTCTTTACTCTTCTACCAGACATAACATGGGGAATGTTTTGACTGTTAGACCTTAGTCATCGTGATTAACCCAATAATAGAGCTTTGTTTACCCTTCTACCAGACACAACATGGGGAATGTTTTGACTGTTACACCATAGTCATAATGTAAACTAAATGTGTGTAATGTTTCAGGTAAATTGGTGATGGGACAGAAGTGCATGCCGGTAGTCCTCCACATTGACCTCTTGACCTCTCAAGTCTACGTGTCCCTCTTGGTTGAACTGACCGGCAAGAGGAAAGAGGTGAGTGATAGGCTGCATCTCAAATGACACCCTATTTCCTATATAGTGCAAAAAAAAATTGACCAGGGCCCGTAGGACTCTAGTTAACCTCTATGGGATCGGTGTCCCGTATACGGGATGGTTGAGCTAACGTGCGCTAATGTGATTAGCATGACTGTTGTAAGTAACAGCAAACTTTCCAGGACATAGACATGTCTTCTATTGGCAGAAAGTTTAAATTCTTGTTAATCTAACTGCACTGTCCAATTTACAGTAGCTATTACCGTGAAAAAATACCATGCTATTGTTTGAGGAGAGTGCACAACAACAACAAACTTATTACGGCAACTGGTTTGATACATTCACCTCTGAAGGTAAATAATGTACTTACATTCAGTAATCTCGCTCTGATTTGTCATCCTAAGGGTCCCAGAGATAAAATGTAGCATAGTTTTGTTGGATAAAATCAAGTTTTATATTCAAATGTAGGAACTAGGTTCTACAGTTTGAACCCTGCTGTCTCTGGCTCCACACCCACCTCGCTCGGCCATCTAGATGTGTGAAAGTTAGTGTATAAGCTAATGATCCATCATGTATGACATTCCTGGGAGTGTGTAAACTTACATTTTGTATTACTATATCATTTTTATATGTTCTCTATAGTTATATACTTGAAAATGTATCAATTGACCAATTTGGCACATTTGGGCGACTTGATACAAAATAGTCCAGTATTGTAATGCTTCACTGGATCAATCTGAAATTTTGTGGTTGGGAGGCTGAAAAGTCAATAGTGGATAATGTGGCTTAATCTGGTATATATGGGCAACTGTTCAATACAATAGATCTGTATTATCCCTCAAGTGGAAACTCCCTGCATCCTTATGGACTAACCAATCTTTTACACTTTGAAAAGCCTTAATCTTGATAGTTCATAAAGTCATAATGATTTTTTTCCTCACTGTGTCCTTATAGGTGGAGGCAGGGTCCACACACACTGCCACAGTGCAGCACGCCGACCGCGACTTCGCCGTCATCTCATTGGGCGATACGGGTCAACTGACAGTCATCCAAACCACCAATCACCCCAACGAGACTTTCCGCTTTGACTCGGAGAAACTGACCGCCGGTAAAACCCTGACGATCACTGTCACCGAATCCTGCTGCGAGGAACTAGAAGGGCTCCCCCTAGTGTCCTGGGAACTCGCCGCGCCCAAACGTGAGAGGTTAATCTCTGACTCCAAGGGGTCAAAGGGCACATATCGCTACGGCGATGTGGTCAAGGGAAAGGTGAAGACAGTGAAGCCTACGTGCGTGCTGGTGACGCTAGATGACGGGAGCACGGGGTGCGTGCACGTGTCGGAGATACAGGAAGTGGTGTGCGTGGGAACGTTCCCCACGTCCCTCCTCAAGATAGGAAGTGAGGTCACCGCCCGGGTCATCGGAGGACGGGAGGGCAACAGTCACAGGTAAGGATAACAATGACTAGGTATCCCCCTTTCCTTTCCTTTCAATATAGTAACATATTTAGGAGATTTAAGTAGACACATTTTTATATAGTTTGATCATTTGAAGGATATTTCAGAATTTATAGGTATTCTCTGTTTTAAATATTTGCGGTATTTCAGAGTTGCAAATGAAATAATATTGTCTTTCTTTTTTAGGTTCTTGCCGTTCTCCCATCCCAACTTCACTTACTCCATGCCTGAACTCACACTTCTTCCCAGGTAAATGTTCTGAACATTTTAAAAAACGTATTCTGTTATTATAGTGCCTTTTTGGTTTCTTGTTATATAATCTTTCCCTCTCTGGTCATAGTAAGCTGAAAGAAGATGCAGATGTTAAGCCTGTCAAGACCAAACAGAAGCTGAAGAGTTATCAGGTCGGAGACAACGTCATTTGCTTTGTGTCAAAGGTGAGTTTGAACAAAAGTTAATCAAAGTTAAGTAACTTGTTATACAGTATGTGTGAAACATGTTTAGTAGTAGTACTGTAGTACTAGTTGTGTTAAACGTGTATGTGTGTGTATTTCTTCCTCAGTACTTTCCAGAGAGGAAGTGTCTAGAAGTGACCACTGGTCCCTCAGTAACTGGAACTGTTGAACTACTGGCCATGACCTCTGACCCTAAAGTAAGTTTTATATACACTTAATTCAATGTTTTTCTAATTCCTTCTATGGGAAATTCCCTCAATGACCTCTACATTTTTGTAAAGCTGCAAAATGAAGATGGTGTCATCCCTCAGTTGTCCCTTATACTGTATGGATCTGTATTCACCCTAATTGGTTTACTAAAATATACACTACCGTTCAAAAGTTTGGGGTCACTTAGAAATGTCCTTGTTTTCCATGAAAACATACATTAAATGAGTTTGAATAGGAAATATAGCAAAATGCATAGGAAATAATGATTTTTAATAGAAATAATAATTGTCCTTCAAACTTTGCTTTCATCAAAGAATCCTCCATTTGCAGCAATTACAGCCTTGCAGACCTTTGGCCTTCTAGTTGTCAATTTGTTGAGGTAATCTGAAGAGATTTCACCCCATGCTTCCTGAAGCACCTCCCACAAGTTGGATTGGCTTGATGGGCACGTCTTACGTACCATACGGTCAAGCTGCTCCCACAACAGCTCAATAGGGTTGAGATCCGGTGACTGTGCTGGCCACTCCATTATAGACAGAATACCAGCTGACTGCTTCTTCCCTAAATAGTTATTGCATAGTTTGGAGCTGTGCTTTGGGTCATTGTCCTGTTGTAGGAGGAAATTGGCTCCAATCAAGCGCTGTCCACAGGGTATGGCATGGCGTTGCAAAATGGAGTGATAGCCTTCCTTCTTCAAGATCCCTTTTACCCTGTACAAATCTCCCACTTTACAACCACCAAAGCACCCCCAGACCATCACATTGCCTCCACCATGCTTGACAGATGGCATCAAGCACTCCTCCAGCATCTTTTCATTTGGTCTGCGTCTCACAAATGTTCTTCTTTGTGATCCGAATACCTCAAACTTCGATTCGTCTGTCCATAACACTTTTTTCCAAACTTCCTCTGTCCAGTGTCATTGTTCTTTTGCCCATCTTAATCTTTTCTTTTTATTGGCCAGTCTGAGATATGGCTTTTTCTTTGCAACTCTGCCTAGAAGGTCAGCATCCCGGAGTCGCCTCTTCACTGTTGACGTTGAGACTGGTGTTTTGCGGGTACTATTTAATGAAGCTGCCAGTTGAGGACATGTGAGGCATCTGTTTCTCAAACTAGACACTCTAATGTATTTGTCCTCTTGCTCAGTTGTGCACCGGGGCCTCCCACTCCTCTTTCTATTCTGGTTAGAGCCAGTTTGCGCTGTTCTATGAAGGGAGTAGTACACAGCGTTGTACGAGATCTTCCGTTTCTTGGCAATTTCTCGCATGGAATAGCCTTCATTTCTCAGAACAAGAATAGACTGACGAGTTTCAGAAGAAAGTTATTTGTTTCTGGCCATTTTGAGCCTGTAATCGAACCCACAATTGCTGATGCTCCAGATACTCAACCAGTCTCAAGAAGGCCAGTTTTATTGCTTCTTTAATCAGCACAACAGTTTTCAATTGCAAAAGGGTTTTCTAATGATCAATTAGCCTTTTTAAAATGATAAACTTGGATTAGCCATTGATAACACAATGTGCCATTGGAACACAGGACTGATGGTTGCTGATAATGGGCCTCTGTACGCCTATGTAGATATTCCATTAAAAATCAGCCGTTTCCAGCTACAATAGCCATTTACATCATTAACAATGTCTACACTGTATTTCTGATCAATTTGATGTTATTTTAATGGACATAAAAATTGCTTTTCTTTCGAAGACAAGGACATTTCTAAGTGACCCCAAACCTCTGAACAGTAGTGTATATATTTTTTTTCTTCAGGATGCCAAACACCCAGAGAAGCTGTTCAAGCTGGGCCAGGCGGTCAGTGCAAAGGTGGTGACAGTCAGCTCCTCCAAGCCCTCACGCCTCTCATTGTCTCTCACTGGTAAGAACATAAAATAATTGTTTAAATAAAAAAACAACCCTCTTCTAACCGTCAATACAGTGAATATAAGACCCTTCCAACCATCAATAGTACATTGAATATTACATCAATACATTGAAAAGAGGCCCTTCTAATCAACAATACAGAAATATAAATGTATAACCAACTTCTAAACTTTGAACCATCAATTCAGACATGTCAACTCACCATTTACAGCTCTCTCGCTATGTTGTGGTTGCATTTACTCACTCTAATGTTGGTTGTCAATCATTGTCAGGTGTACACAAGTTGGAGAAGGGCAGTGTAATCATGGGGTTGGTGCAGAAGCTAGATCCCAACCTGGGTCTGCTGGTGAAGCTGCCATTCAGCGCCATGGGAACGGTTGCCGTGGAGGACCTGGCCGACAACTATAAGCCAAAACCTCTGGAGCCGTACAGCAAGGATCAGCTGGTCAGGTCAGTGGCACACTTTAAACCTGGGTTAAAGGCTAACTGAACCAGGCTAAAAGTTAGTCAAGTTAACAAGTTAAAATGGTTTTGGAGTGTTAACTGTAAAGCTGGACTTTATTTATGTAATTCTTCAAGTTCTTTCAAGGTTATACTAAAAGTAACTTAATGTTTTTGTTCTTTCTCTAGGTGCTGCGTTGTAGGCGAGGAGAAAAGCAATTGGCAGTTGTCCCTCCGCCCTTCGAGGTATGATTCCTTCTCAGACTTGGTTTTCATGGACAAAGTGAATTGAAGAGTTCAAGTGTATTAGGAAATGACTCCCAAAGCAATAACGACACCCTATTCAACCCTATACATTTCTCACATCATTCTTCTCCTCTTTTCTACTGGTCCATTCAAACTATAATCATATCTTATGTAAAGCGCTTTGAGCACTGAAAAAGTGCATTATAAATGAATCATTTGTATTATCTTTCAGGATGAACCCAGAGAAGGCCTCAGTAGTGGACCCAGAGATTGTGTCTTTAGACGACCTGACAGAGGGCCAGATCATCAGAGGCTATGTGAGAACTGTCAATGCACAGGGAGTCTTTGTTAGGTAACTCAGTCCACTATCCCTTTATAGAAACTAACCCCGTTATTAAACATTTACATACCTTTATATATAATGTCCTGGAAAGATATGAAACGATGAATGAAAAATATTGCCATATTCTCCTTTTCTCATTACATGTTATACATGTAAGGTATTCATTACTTCTGTATTATACTTAGACAATATATCTCAGATTCACAGTCCCTTTAGTATACATTTACAATGGTCTGGGAAGATATGAAATGATCATGCAGCTTTTTCCTGAAGATCGATTATGAAAACCCAACGTAGAAAAGCTGCTGCTATGGTAATGCAGCTAATTGGAAATGTTGCGTTTTGTTTTTGACAGTTTGTCTAGATCCATAAAGGGCAGAGCCCAGTTCCAGAAGGCCACCAAGTACTTTGTGGCTCGCCACCAAGACTATGCCAAGAAAGTACCACAGACCACACTGCTCACCACGAAGGTCCTCAGGTAAGACCCCCCCCCCACAATCTGTTGGTACAACCCCACCACCACTGCTAGGGGAATGGTCCGGAAGGGCCGACCCATCTCATTCTAGAATAGGGGTGTTCCATAAAACAAGGAAGTTGTTAGACAAATGTTTTTGGTCACTTTGTGGTTTACATTTTTGCATAATAACCTATATTTATTTGTTTTATTGAACATGTTTGTGACCCACACGGTTAATATGGCGCAAACGAGCGCCAATGTGTAGGAGTTTTTAGTTTTCTACATTTAGGTTTTTAACACAAATGTGTTGTTCCTCTCAGCATCAACAAAGAAAACGGGCTGGTAGATCTGTCTCTGCTCCAAGAGGATACTGGGAAACCAGACGTGCTCCCAGAATCCCTGGGGCTGCATCTACGCCTGACAGGAGAGGCCAAGGAGAAGCGTGATGTCATCAAGAAGAGGAAACACACAGAGTCAGAAAGCAAGCAGGTGAGTCTATTTATCCCCCTTTTCTTAATACAAGGTAACCTAACGTAGTAGGCGTAAAAGTAACGCCTGAGCGGGCTCACCACATCCAGTTTTCAGAGGAAAAGGAAGCTACGTTGGAGATACTGTATCCCTGAAAACCGGATGTTTCCATTTTCTAGTGACCCCACTGAGGGTGAATACAAGCTAATCCTTTTTAGTTTGAGTAGACAAAGTGATACGACACCTGCAACAAGAAAACTGAGATGTGCGAGTGCTTTTTATAGTTTTTTTATACAGGTGATAAAATTGAGATGATAAGCTATTTTAAAGGGGAACCTGTCCTCTTCCATTACATTTACATTTTAGTCATTTAGCAGACGCTCTTATCCAGAGCGATTTACAGGTAGTGAGTGCACACATTATCTTTTTTTATTTTTCATACTGGCCCCCCGTGGGAATCAAACCCACAACCCTGGCGTTGCAAACGCCATGCTCTACCAACATCTCTGCCGGCCATTACCTCCCCTACCCTGGACGACGCTGGGCCAATTGTGCGCCGCCCCATGGGTCTCCCAGTCGCGGCCGGCTACGACAGAGCCTGGATTCGAACCAGGATCTCTAGTGGCACAGCTAGCACTGCGATGCAGTGCCTTAGACCACTGCGCCACTCACTGATACTAATACTACTACACAGAATGGCGGAAGCACTGATCACTATATAACTTGGATTACCCTAGCAGTTTGACTGGGGACTGGAATGTCTAATCCATATAATCACTTATCTTCTGTCTTAATGTAGGGACCTGCAGAGAAAGTTTCCAAGAAGAAGAAGACTAAGAAGAAGGGGAAAGGGGAGGACAGTGACAGCGGAGTGGAGGTGTACTTCAGAGAAGAAGAGGAGGATGACGAGGAGGAGGAAAAGAAGTCAGAGCCTGCGGAGGTAGTGAAGCCTGTTCCAGTGCAACCAGCCAGACTGCAGGTGACCGGAGGGTTCTCCTGGGATGCAGCGCTGAGTGCCCTGAAACCAGCCTCCGCTGCCCTGGGGGCAGAAGACTCCAGCGATAGGGAGGACGACGAGGTGAAGACTAAGGTAAGGAGTAATGCTGGGCTTGTACTATGAGTGGCACCTACTAAAGGAAATCACTTAGTAAAGGAATGTTTGCATTGCATTTACTATGAGGGTTATAATGGCTGTACAGCCTCCAAAATGTTCATGGAGGTGTATGTTCGACTTCTCCCTTGGATTATTTCTAGTACTGGTGTTGTTCTTATGACCTTTCTCTCTGTATCTCTCTTTTTCCTCCTTCTCCTCTTTAACTGCCACTTTCTTCTAATCCTTTCCTTCTTTCTTTCTTTCCTTCCTTGCTTTCATCCCCCTCTTCCACCCAGCCTCAGAAGAAGTCTCGCCACGAGCAGGAGGTAGAGAAGCGGGAGGCTGAGAAGGCCCTGACCAAGCTGGAGACGGAGCTGATGGACCCAGGCCTGCGACCCCAGACGGCGGCCAGCTTTGAGCGCCTGCTACTCAGCTCCCCTGACAGCTCTCTGCTCTGGCTGCAGTTCATGGCCTTCCACCTGCAGGCCACACAGATAGAACAGGCTAGAGCGGTGGCCGAGAGAGCCCTGAAGACTATCTCCTTCAGGTTAGTGGTGGGGAAAGGTGTGTGTGTGTGTTCATAACACGCTCCTTAGATCCACCTCTGGAGGGTTCTCCTGTGCTGGTGCTGTCGTCTCTCTCTGCGTGCTGCAGCTCCAGCCTGGAGGCCCTCAGCAGCTTTCTGGCTGGACAGTTGGAGGTGCTTGAGTCATTGGTGTGTGAGAGCAGTCTACCTGCCCCCCCCAGCCCCCCTGCTGCACTGGCAACCCTCAGTCCTGCTGGGGGGGACTCTACCAGCGCAGCTAGGATGGGGGGCGGACAACACAAAGAAGAAGAAAGCGGGTCCTGTGGGTGGGTTGGCGTGGGGGATATGAATGTGTTGATTAGGGCTGGGTGGTATACCATATTTTACGAAATACTGGTATTGATGCACGGACTGGTTTGGGTGTTTACTTTGCCTTCTATAACGGTATTTGAATGTTTGATTTGTTAAATGGGATACGCCTTGTGTAACGTCCATTTTTATAGTTTACTTCGCTACTTGGGTCATCTCTTTCCGCTCTCTCTCTCTATACCACTTTCCACAGACCTAGCCCCGCCCCCTGTCACTCAAGGAGCACATTTGTTTACCACGAGACACTTGCGTTCAGTCTGCATTGGTTAAAAAACAATGTTGATGACAACGATGCTGTTTTTTTCACTTTGCTTAATATAAATCCACTAGCATTCTATAATTACACTTAAGTTTGTTTCTTACATCTGCAAACAGCTAGTTTGTCTTTTCTTAATCTTGTTAGCCGCTAATGCTAATCTCCAGTTAGCTGGCTAGCTAATGAATGTACTGAGTCAGAGCAAATGTAACTAGCTATATAGCCTGATAATACCAGAAGATTATAGGGTCCCCTAGGAAACTTGTCAACACTTTGGTTCCTACCCTGTCACAGTAACTCCTTCCTGGCATTTCCATTTGTTGTCATGTCAAACAACACTATTCAAAGTGCCCACTATTATATTCTAACTATAGAATTAGAATAATCCATTCTATTTCCATGACTCCAACAGTTCACCCAAGTGTTTTGCTCTAAATCACAAGTCAAATCGCAATTGCAACATTTGGTAAAAAATAAGGCCTAGATTGTTAACCCATATCATGCAACCCTATGTGGCAGTGTGGAAATGGTCTGAAATGAGTGCAGGAAATGCAGAAATTGATAAATGCTGCACATTATTTTTGGTTGAATTGAACAGTATAACACAATCAGAATAGAGAAAGACCCATTGAAATCACTTAGAATGTATGTGTTGCCACCCTAGGGTCACGCACTACTCATAAAGCAAATGTAGAACGTTTATAATGCAAAAACATAAAATACCGTCATAACATAATTGTTTTAAAATACAGTGATATTATATTTTGGCCGTATCGCCCAGCCCTAGTGTTAATTGTGTGTAAAGTCCGTGTCCTGTCTGTCATCAAATAATTTCTCATAGAGAAGGAAAGAGGGGGTGGGTGTAAAACGTGTGTATTTCTGGATGTATTCTATAACACGTCTGTATTCTCCCTCAGAGAAGAGCAGGAGAAGCTGAATGTTTGGGTGGCTCTGTTGAACCTTGAGAACCTGTATGGGACAGAGGAGAGTCTTCAGAAGGTGTTTGAGCGGGCCGTGCAGTATTGTGAACCCATGCCTGTCTACCAGCAACTGGCTGACATCTACGCCAAGTGTCAGAAGACTAAGGTAGCTAATACCAGGGCTCACACACATTCATTAAAACGGCTAACATTCCTCAATGAAAAAAGTGATATACTTCACGTATTTACTCGGATCGTATTAGAGCACATTAGATGTTGTATTGTGAGTTTTTTTTCCTGAGCTTCTTGTAAGTTTTCTGTTATTGAATGGTCCTGCTATCTCACTGTTTGTACCGGTGTGGTGTAGGTTCTCATAAATTGTGTGTATCTGTGTGTGTAGGAGGCGGAAGGTCTGTATAAGACCATGGTGAAGCGGTTCCGTCAGGATAAGGCTGTGTGGCTGAGCTATGGGACCTTCCTGCTTCAGCAGGGTCAGAGTGACGCGGCCAACGCCCTGCTACAGAGGGCCATCAAGAGCCTGCCTATCAAAGACAGTAAGACCCCTGTTATTACCTTTAGGACCATTACACACCTTTTGGGACCCCCATACCTCAACACTTGCCCTATTCGACCTCTAGCTCCCATCCCTCCTCTGGACACTGGGTTGGATAGGTGTAAGCAAGATGGTAATAGCTCCAACTTGTGGAATTTTGGCTGTATTGCTTACGCCAATCCTTCCTGTCCCGATTCTACTCAGTCCGTTGATCTTTCAACAGATCTACTCACCAAGTCATTTTCCAGGTTGACAGCTCTTAGTACCTTTTGTCATAGAGTCAAAAGGTACTAACACCTTACTTACAGTATCTCCATGTTAACCATCCACCTTCTCCCTCCTCCTCTTCTTCAGATGTGGATCTGATAGCTAAGTTTGCCCAGCTGGAGTTCCGCTACGGAGACGTAGAGCGAGGAAAGACCATGTTGGACAAGATCCTGACCAGCTACCCCAAACGCACCGACCTGTGGTCCGTCTTCATAGACCTCATGGTCAAACACGGCTCCCAGAAGGAAGTCCGGTGAGTGGGCCGACGGCACCTCACTGGTTTTGTTTTGTTCATGAAATTACGTCGAAATAGCCTGATCCCAGGTCTGTTTGGCATGACAATGACCATGGGAGTTGGAAATAAAGCACCAACACATCTGGGACCAGGCTAACCTGGTAATATTTCATTTATGAAAACATGTAATATTTGAATATTAAATATTTATCAACTTTAGTATATAGGAAACATGTACATGTAAGTTCTTCACCACCTCAACTGCCAAACTTGTATTCACTCATTTGACTTTGGTAACACATAACTAGTCATGAATTGAGGTATTATTGGGGACATATGCTAGCTACCATATACAGTGCATTCTGAAAGTAAAGAACACAACTACCCTGTCTGGGACACTCAGTTCTCACCCTATGGGTACTACTTTATCTCTTGGGGACATGACGGAGTCGCTCGGTAAGAACCCTTATTAATAATTATTATTAATACAGTGCATCCTTTTTCCACATTTTGTTACGTTACAGCCTTATTCTAAAATGGATTAAATAAATGAAAATCCTCATCAATCTACACACAATACCCCATAATGACAAAGCGAAACAAGTTTTTAGAAAATGTTGCACATTTACATAAGTATTCAGACCCTTTGCTACGAGACTCGAAAATTGAGCTCAGGTGCATCCTGTTTCCATTGATCATCGTTGAGATGTTTCTACAACTTGATTGGAGTCCACCTGTGGTAAATTCAATTGATTGGACATGATTTGGAAAGGCACACACCTGTCTATACAAGGTCCCACAGTTGACAGTGCATGTCAGAGCAAAAACCAAGCCATGAGATCGAAGGAATTGTCCGTAGAGCTCTGAGACAGTATTGTGTCGAGGCACAGATCTGGGTAAGGGTACCAAAACATTTCTGCAGCATTGAAGGCCCCCAAGAACACAGTGGCCTCCATAATTCTTAAATGGAAGAAGTTTGGAACCACCAAGACTCTTCCTAGAGCTGGCCGCCCGGCCAAACTGAGCAATCGGGGGAGAAGGGCCTTGGTCAGGGAGGTGACCAAGAACCCGATGGTCACTCTGACAGAGCTCCAGAGTTCCTCTGTGAGAACGTTCCAGAAGGACAACCATCTCTGCAGCACTCCACCAATCAGGCCTTTATGGTAGAGTGGCCAGACGGAAGACACTCCTCAGTAAAAGGCACATGACAGCCCGCTTGGAGTTTGCCAAAAGGCACCTAAAGGACTTTCAGACCATGAGAAACAAGATTCTCTGGTCTGATGAAACCAAGATTGAACTCTTTGGCCTGAATGCCAAGCGTCACGTCTGGAGGAAACCTGGCACCACCATCCCTACGGTGAAGCATGGTGGTGGCAGCATCATGCTGTGGGGATGTTTTTCAGCGGCAGGGACTGGGAGACTAGTCAGGATCGAGGGAAAGATGAACGGAGCAAAGTACAGCGAGATCCTTGATGAAAACCTGCTCCAGAGCGCTCAGGACCTCCTTGAGTGGCTCAGCCAGAGCCTGGACTTGAACCCGATCGAACATCTCTGGGGAGACCTGAAAATAACTATGCAGTGACGCTCCCCATCCAAACTGACAGAGCTTGAGAGGATCTGCAGAGAAGAATGGGAGAACCTCCCCAAATACAGGTGTGCCAAGCTTGTAGCGTCATACCCAAGAAGACTCGAGGCTGTAATCACTGCCAAAGGTGCTTCAACAAAGTACTGAGTAAAGGATCTGAATACTTATGTAAATGTTATAGTTCTGTTTGTTTTAATTTTATACATTTGCTAACATTTTAAAAATCTGTTTTTGCTTTGTCATTATGGGGTATTGTGTGTAGATTGATGAGGGGAAAAAAAAACAATTTTAATTTTAGAATAAGGCTGTAACGTAACAAAATGTGGAAAAGGTCAAGGGGTCTGAATAATTTCCGAATGCACTGTATGTCATTGGAAGCAAGGTGTTTCCTGTCATGTGACCTGATCTAACTTCCTGTGTTCAGGGCTGTGTTTGACCGTGTGATCCACCTGAGTGTAGCGGTGAAGAGGATCAAGTTCTTCTTCAAGCGTTACCTGGAGTATGAGAAGAAGAATGGCACGCCAGAGAGCATCCAGGCTGTCAAGGAGAAGGCCCTGGAGTACGTAGAGTCTAAAGGGCCAGAGGCCGCCAGCTAGACACACATATACACAGAGACACACACACACACACACGTACGTCATTTTGGGGGATTTTCCAACAGCTGTTGTGCAACTGTGGGAAAAGAAGCAAACTGGCAAAGAGCTCAAGGGAAGCCTGACCTGAGTGTCATAACAGCCTCCACACACACACACACTGAGATACACACCCTGCTATTGGATAGTGTTGTTGGATGTTCAGAGAATACATTTATTAATTGCATGAAAGTTTTCAAATGGTGACATGAGTCACACATTATATAAATAGGTGATATGGACTTGGCTCCTGAGTGGCGCAGTGGTCTAAGGCACTGCATCGCAGTGCTAACTGTGCCACTAGAGATCCTGGTTCGAATCCAGGCTCTGTCGCAGCCGGCCGCGACCAGGAGACTCATGGGCGGCGCACAATTGGCCCAGCGTCGTCCAGGGTAGGGGAGGGAATGGCCAGCAGGGATGTAGCTCAGTTGATAGAGCATGGCGTTTGCAACGCCAGGGTTGCGGGTTCGATTCCCACGGGGGGCCAGTATAAAAAAAGATGTATTCACTAACTGTAAGTCGCTCTGGATAAGAGCGTCTGCTAAATGACTAAAATGTAATGTAAATGAAATGTGGGAGGTCATTCTACCTGGTCGTTTCAACCCATTTTTGTATAAATGGCACAATTTAAACTGACTGGATTTATTAGTTTTAAAAAATGGTGTATGTATGGGTGAAAAATCATGCTGACCTGACTAAATAGAATGACTATCATTTTGTAATTTAAAAAAAAAGTTACAAAATAACCTTGTATACCATCTACTAATATTTAATTTACAGAAGATGCACCACAGCGAGGATACATTATATTTTATTTAAAAGCAACAAACGATACAAAATTACAAGATGGGGGTCACAACGTTACGTACATACAGGCAAGACTAGCTGTCTATCAGTCTTCGGGGAATATGGACCTGGTTTGTGTCTGAAATGGCACCCTATTCCCTATATAGTACACTACTTTTGAACAGGGCCTGCATAGGGCTCTGGTCAAAGGTAATACACTGTTTGGGAATAAGGTGCCATTTAAAACACATTCCTGGATATATAGTTCTGTACATCAGAGTGCTGCTGTGTTGTTGGTATTGGACTGGTCTTGTGGTTCCAGCCCAACTACATCGCAGTCGCTTGCAAGATCTCATTGGCTGCGTTCAAGACCGACTACATTGCAGTCGCCTGCCAGATCTCCACGCCTGTATAAGTGTTTTAACATGTCAGCTAACCGCATATGATAAAGCAATCCGATGCCCGACTGCGCAGTCGATGACGTGGCGTAGCACCATCGGTTGCTGCGTGCGGCGCGACTGCAATATAGTCGGCCTGGAACGTGACCAATGTTTTGACTACCTAAGTACAGTGTTACCTAGGTTGGAGTTGGCAGTATTGGACATGTTCTATGTGTGGCACATGGTTTTGAATGGCATGTTTGTGCTGGCTTGTATTGTAACACCCCTGAGGTATGAGAGGTATCCATTTACATCAATCCTGATTCTTGACCAATGACCTTCTCAGAATGCCTGACGTGTCGTTTGTGTTTGGCTGTTTCTGGCAGTGTTGTACCAGGCATCGTCCAATGACTGGGAGGACTCTGTATTCTAAAGTGGCTCCCATTCTTATGTCACTTTCCTCACTGGAGATAATATTAGTACATTTCTGACCTGCAAAATGAATATTCAGGTCAGGAGTGACCGTATAGCCTTTTCCCATTCTCACTGATCTAAAGGGGGAGGATAGACAGGCGCTTTATAAAGCTCCACTGCTAAGCTAGGAGGGCCCAATCCCAAACTGACCTGTTGCGCCCTATCCCCTACCCTATCCTTCATTTCTTGCAGGAAGCCCCATTGGTATGCTAGTAGGGCCACATTCCAAACCCCAAATCCTGATCCCTTGTACCCCATCCCTCAGGGTTAGGGTTATCCTTTCGTTTTTAGGTTCCATTGGTAAACTTAGTAGGGCCAGATCTTGAAACACTCCCTTGCGCCCTATCCCTCAGTCATCGCTGACTTTCTTGATGATCTGAAAGGCCTGGACGGGTGTAATCAACATCCATATACAGCACCCAAACCCCAGCCATATTGATTAATGCTCATTCAAAGACTAACACCAAGGAAGCCACTTTAAGAATATAATCAACCCTGTGTGATGTCCATAAAATGACCATGTCAATAAGATGACTATCAATTCCGTTGTGTGTAAATGTGTGTATGGCGGTCCTGGTGGGCCCTGGGGTCCTTCACACCTCCTCTGGGTCCTGGGGCCCCTCAGTTCCCTGTGTGGGGTCTGGGTGGAGCCTGAGGATGGGCTTGTTACACATGGGGCACACGCTACGGATCTCCAGCCACTTCAGCAGGCACCTGGATGGGACACACAAGAGACTGAGATTTCTTCAAATCTAATCATTGATCTGACAAGGATGTTAACTTCAAGGAAGGGAGGATGGAACCAGAAGGATTTATGTATCATGTTAGTATCAGCTGCCGCTTGAACATTATGACCAAAGATGCGTTGACGTTTCGTAAGCTCTGTCTATAAGGAAAGCAGGATGGTTAACTCACTTCTTGTGAAATGCGTGCGAACACGGACACACAGCTAGCTCATCTCTGGTCCGAAACTCTTCCAAACATACTGCACACGTTTGCTGTAAGGGCAAGAAGAAGGTGTATTAGTGTGTGTGTGTAAGAGCAAGAAGAAGAATGTGTGTAAGAGCAAGAAGAAGAATGTGTGTGTATGGGCAAGAAGAAGAATGCGTGTTAGTATGTGACTATCATCTGAGTTCACATTCAAACACTCAACACCAGGTTAAATCAAAGGCATTGCATAGCCACGGGGGTTTCCCCAAGTAGCTAACACGAGCCACACAGAAATGGTTCAGAAAATGGTACATTCTTTTCCAAACAGAATCTATCTGCATTGAAATAAAAACATCAGAGAGAATGACATGACTTACTCCTAGAAGGCTCAGCTTCTTGCCTGCCCCTTTAAGAACCACCTATTGAAAATGAAGAAGGAAAAAAGCAGTTGTTTGTACATGTGTTACAGTGAGCTATAAGCTACTTGACACACACAGGTATTGGTACAAATCCAGGTCTAGGGTTGATGTAATGAAGGTTAACTATAAAGAGTAGTGGGTGTTGTTTCACACACGCTGACAACAACAGACAGTGTGAAATACTCTGGTAGTATTTTAACCCTGGACAGACCCCAGAGCTACATGTACTGCTGTAGTGATAGGCCTACCTCATTGTAGCTGAACTGCTCCCTCGTCCCTTGCTGTTTCAACCTACAAACAGACAAATACAAAATGGCCGTGTTTAAAGATTAAGTCTGGGATCTAAAGCACTTATGAATTTGAAACATTGTACGAATTGGAATTCATAACATTTCTTATTTGGGGGTGGGGGGGGGTGTAACGTACACGAAATGGATGACGTAGTACACAAAACTACTGGCTGGAATTATACAAAACCTCTGTAGCATCACTTTAAAATGCAGGGAATTCCAATGGCCTATCTTATACAGTGCCCTCAAAGAATTCACACCCCTTGACCTAGACAGGCACTGTATGTCTGGCTTGGTATTTACTGCTTACATTGCATGGTGCTTTGTTAAAATGTAGAATATAACAACTGATGCATTAACAGTATAACATACCAATATAATGTAATATATATATATGTATATAATATCATAGGCCGATAATATGTAATGAAATAAAGGCTCTTGAAGCATAATAAGTAAAGCCTCCATGTGGATAAGTCTACATGTTAATATCCTGATTGCAATGGCAACCGGCCAGCGGCCATCTTTGTTTGGGTCCTTCCCACTACGGTTTCCAATTGCTGGCACAGCCACAAAGTCAAAATTCACTACATCATAGTTCACGAGCACAAAAATTAGCTTTTTGGTCTTAATTTAAGGTTAGGGTTAGGCACAAGGTTAGGTTTAAATTCAGTTGTTAAATTGTAGAAATAGGCAGGGTTTATCACTGTGCTGTTCCAGCTAGTGATGACCCTACATACCTGAAGAGGTAGCAGCAGAAGATGAGGCTGAGCATGAAGACGAACAGGCCGATGCCCAGCACTATGACGTAGACATTGAGTGGCAGGCGGTAGGTGGTATCCATCTTGCTAAGTCCACAGTACTTCTCAGAGCGCTGGAGACCTAAACCACAGGCTACCTGGGAAAAAGAATAATATTTCCACACAGCTTGTTGTCATGAAAGAGGTTGTCAAAACAAAACAGAGGGACTTGAATGAAAACATGTCATAGCTTACCTCTCTTATCATATAATGAGTTATAAATACTAAGATGTTTAACCCTCTCAAAACAGAGGATCCGGGGACATATCCCCACATGCAAACGGCTCACAGCTTCTTGTTTACACACCTTTTAAAACAGGAGAGAGGGACACTAAAATAGAACACTGATTCTCTCACTGTTTCACTTCTCATGGAGGTGTTATAACTGGAGACATATTTATATATGGAAATATATATTTCAATCTAAATATAGGGCTCTTGTTATAACTGCATTGCTAACTATATGGTATTCCTCCCTTATATAATGGATATAATGGTGATTTATTGTCTAACACAAGAGCCACAAACATGTGTTTTATTATCTAGGGCTGCATGTTAGAAAGCCTAGTAATCCTAGTATTGACAATTCAAACGACAAGGTAAATATTCGGCGAGGGGGAAGTGACTGCCTGGTATTTGGCTCACATCCCACCCATACTGCTTTGTATTGCTCTGCTCTGACTGGAGCCGAGGCACATAATTGGCAGCAAACTAAACCAACATGGAGTATGGTGGCTCCACTTCCGCCGGTACGCCATCTGTTTCACAGACTCCCCTTCACAGACTAGGTGGCTGGCTGGCCTGTGTGGGTTGTGTGTGTGTGTCATGGGTGGGGGTTGGTTGGGGCTTTAGCTAGCCTTTTCATGAACAGACACACGACACTCTAGGGACTGAGGCACCATTTGGCAAGACAATGGTAACCAGGAAGCACCACTTCCACCCATATGCCCCATGTGTTCTGTTCTTATTAATTTGCCTCACCACGGATGAGATGCCCCCTTACCACCCGCTCTTTGCCAGTCTGTTTTAACGGCCATGGCCGTGTCACTTCATTTAGAGTGATTGAATGGGTACAGCTTGAGCACCGTGGGGGGTATGGGGTTATTCATTTGACATTGGGGTAAAGGGGAGGGAGGGGGGAATGGGCATGGGGGGGGGGGCCTTCGAATTGAAACATGGTTACATAGACAGTTTATTTTCTCAGATGTAGAATGGACCATATGCAGAGACCGGCTAGGTATTGAATAGTTACACCACTTTTAGTAGTACTGTTAGTTACAGTTACATGATGGTTGCTATGTAGCCTATATACAACTAACTAAACATGACCCTGGAAAATCTTGAGTGCTGTTTCACCATTTCGACAAACCCAACTGAACCCACATGCAATTTCGTCATTTCTAATTTCTCAAGCATATCAATTACAGAAACCCTGTTAGCAGTAAGTAAAGAGTTGAAGGGAGAGGGGAGAGTTATAGGGGGAACACACAGGCTGTGTAAACTACAGACTGCATTACATTGACTTGGCAGAAGGTTGAGGAAAAACACTTACCGTTACACCATTGGAATGGTTGCATGAAATCGGACTCCCAGGACTGCAGCAGTAAATCCAGGCCCTGTCAGGAGAAGGCTGGACCTGGGTGAGGGCCAAACTACCAGGTTACCCCGACGCTCGGAGCCTGGAAGCCCAAAATCAGTCTCTAAACTTGGGCTAAAAGAAGACAAACGAGCCGGTGGGGTGGTTGGAGGTTATCGTCCAAAAACAAAACCATAAAGATTCCGAGAAGAAGATTCTGCAAATTCTGGATGTGCGGTTTTGTCCACTCAGCAGTCCATGTGCGACATTCCCAAATCTGGATTAGCTCCCGAGGGTTAGGATTGTGAGATTTGGGATTTGGAGTGCTGCAGTCCTCATGTGTGCTTCTTCTCCTCTCTCAACATTGACGATGACGTCCAAGTGATGACTGTCAGAGAGAGACGAAGAAATCAGTTTAGTCACATGGCTCTTACCTCATGTGAATGTCCATTGTTGAAGTGGTGAAATCTGCTCTCAACACTGAGCAAAACAACACACATTTCCTTTCCTCACAATCAAAACAACTTGCATTCAGGATAAAAACAGCCACATAACAGTTGCCATCCGATAAACAAAAACCTATCCAGTTCATCACAGAGACAGAAAAGCATTCCAAACGACAGTCCCTGCTCTTATTCCAGTGAGGGAGGTGTTAGTCCCTGCTTTGTCCCCCTCCAAAGCCTTCTGAACAGATGGATTTTCACAAGCCTTATCCCCTCTGTCTGCCCTCTCTTCTCCTCCTCTACTCCTTCAGTGCTCTGATCTACTAGGGGGGTAGAGCGTACTCTTCACAGCAGCAAAAACATGATTCTCCCAAAACAAACAAAGAACAGTCTTTTAGCTGCGATATTTTGCTAGTGTGTGTGTGTGTTTAGGAGGGGGAAGTTCCTACTCTCCCTCAAACCATCTGCTGCTTCGATTGAGAAAAATTAGAGACAAAGACAGTCTCCCACCTCCAGCTGGCCTGGTCATGGTGGCAAGGTTCCCTCTCCGTCTCAATCCATAATGGTGGTCTAGAAATCTGCCTCGATCCTCCTCTGCTGCTTCTGCTATTGCTGCTGCTGTTCCTATATCTCTGCCTCTCTGGTTTGTAAACAGAGCTCTGGCTGTTGGTCATGTGACCAGTCCTTTGCCTCGCAACTCTGGTTTCCCTCCTCCCCCTCCCTCTCCTCTGGGCCCTCCCCTTCTCCCTCCGTCCTCCAATCCCTGTCTCTCTCCCTCTCTCACTGGGAGAGATTAAAGCAGGCATAGGCAGGAGGGGAGGCAGGGGGGCCAGACGTTGACGAATGAGACGGCTGGATACAGTGTGTGTGTGTGTGTGTGTGTGTGTGTGTGTGTGTGTGTGTGTGTGTGTGTGTGTGTGTGTGTGTGTGTGTGTGTGTGTGTGTGTGAGTGTGTGAGTGTATGTGTGTATGTATGTGTTTCTCCCTCTGTGTGTGTTGGAGTCTTGCAGGAAAGACAGGGAGGGCCCGGTCAGTGACAGGTGCACTGCTGCTGTCCAGACAACCAAAACAATGCCAGGCAGGGTGAGGGGAAGGCCAGCAGCCAGCCCTTTTAGTCATAACAACAAAACTATCACTGGGCTACAAAACCAACATGGCTGTCACAGCCAAAGAATATAGGGGGATTGGGAAGCTAGCTCCGTCAGTCGAAGCCCTGGTTATTTTCCAGTTTTGTTTATCTTGATCTATATATAAACGTGTTGCTATCATGTTGGTAGAGAGACAGAGCATGGTTGGAGAGAGAGAGAGAGAGAGAGAGAGAGAGAGAGAGATACAGATACAGATACAGAAAAAGAGAAAGAGAGATCAAGAAAGACAGCAGAGAGAAAGAAAAACAAATACTAGAGAGGGAAAGATGGCCAGAGACATCGATTCATCCACCCCCACACCGTCAGTCCTGCCAGACCAACAGGCCAACAGGCCTCAGAGACAACAGCTGCAGGATTTGGGTTGTAGGGTAGGAAGCTAGGAGGGAGGAGATGTGCTTTCCTGGCTCCCTGGTTCCCTGGGCCATGTTCATTAGGCACCAAATGGAAGAAAACAGATTAAAACAGCCCTTATGGAAAAAACACATACGAAAACCAAAAATACGTTTTCATGTTATCATGTGATCTTATGTGAAGTTAATGTGATAATGTGACAACATGAAACTACACGTGAAAACGTGATCAAGTGAAGTGTTCCAAAAACACATGAAATCATGTGTTTTTTCTGTAATCTTTTTTAAAATAAAAAAGAGCAAGCAATGCAGATGTAGAAGCATGATGGCTCGGAAAAAAACTCCCTAGAAAGGTAGGAACCTAGGACGAAACCTAGAGGGGTGACCACTCCTCTTCTGGCTGTGCCAGGTGGAGATTATAAGAGTACATGGCCATTATGGCCAGATCGTTCTTAAAGATGTTCAAACGTTCATAGATGATCAGCAGCGTCAAATAATAATCACAGTGGTTATAGAGGGTGCAACAGGTCAACACCTCAGGAGTAAATGTCAGTTGGCTTTTCATAGCTGAGCATTCAGAGGTCGAGACAGCAGGTGTGGTAGAGGAGAGCGAGGAGAGAGAGAGAGAGAGAGAGAGAGAGTCGAAACAGCAGGTCTGGGATAAGGTAGCACGTCCGGTGAACAGGTCAGGGTTCCATAGCTGCAGAAAAGCAGAAACTGGATCAGCATCCTGAAAGAGGGCTCGAGAGGCACCTATGCCCTCAAAGACCTGGCAGCATGGTTGCAGGTGAAGGCGAGGGTGAAGAGCATCGCTCACCAGGCCTCAATCACAGCCACAGCCTCTGGGGTAAGGAAGGAGTTTGAACGCTACCATGTACTTAAATAGTGTAGGCGGGGAGGGACCCAGAAGGGAGGAACCCGGGAAGAAGACCTCTCTCAAGAGCAAGAACATCAAATTCCAGCCCTACTGCCCCTATTGCAATTGTAAGGGGCACTTTCTGGGCTCATACCCCAAGGTACAAAAGCTCACTCGACCCGAATTGAAGGCCTGGATAACTTCAGGTGAGCGATGCTACAAGTGTGCCCGTTGCCATAAAGCGGAGACCTGCACATTGAGGAAACCCTGCAATCGATGTAAGGAAATCCATCTCACAGTATTGCATGATGTAATTCCCCAAGCACCGAAGGAACAGAGTATGCTCATGGTAGGAGCCACCTACCTCGACCAGCCTAATCGATCTCCAAGGGTCATGTTGAAGGTGGTAAAGGTCACTCTGCAAAGCGAAGGGAGGAGCAAGGATACATTCGCCGTTCTAGATGATGGGTCTGAAAGAACAATCATCCTCCCAGCTGCCGCCCGGCTGCTTCACCTGAAGGGGACCCCTGAGACCCTTAACCTCACAACGGTGCGACATTATGTTATCCAAGTGAAAGGCTCTGCCATGACCTTCTGCGTTTCACCTTCAGGACAGAGGGACGTGGCCTACAACATCACTAATGCCTTCATGGCAGATGGCCTGAATCTCGCAGAGCACTCCTGCCCGGTGAGTGTTCTACAGAAGCAATATCTTCATCTCAGAGGACTGCCTCTTCCCAACATGGCCAGGGTTGCGCCACTCATCCTGATAGGGTTAGACCACCCACACCTCGTCACCCCGACCGAGCCTATACGAGCTGGACCAGAAGGAGGGCCCGTTGCTGTCCATACATCCTTGGGTTAGGCTGTGCAGGGTCCAGACCATCTACTTCTCTCGACCCAAGCTGTACAGTCACAGCAAGTCCTCTTTACCAGAAGCAGTCCAGCTCCATCTCCCTGTCCAGCCACTGACCTCCTTCGGAATGTGGAGATGCTCTGGAAGATGGACACCTTCTCCAACCGGAAGCTAAAGGAGGTCACCTGCTCAAAACATGACTCCTATGCATTAGACCTTGTGGAGAAGCATACCACCACCACTGAAATGGATGGCGTTCAGACGTGCGCAACCCCACTGCTACAGGTGCCCAACCATTCTACTCTGGCAACCACAACAAGGGCTGTACTCCCACTACTCTGCGGAACGTAGCGGTGACTGGTGAAGAATCCTGAGCTTGCTGAAGTTCATAACCGAGAGATTCATAACCTTGTGAAGGCAGGATATGTCACCAAAGTGACAGCTCATGAAGAGGGAAACCCACTCAGCGAATCCTGGTATCTCCCTCACCATGTTATCCAGCAACACAGTGGGAAGTACTGAATTGTCTTCAACTGTTCATTCCAAGCCGCTGGTCAAAGCCTGAATGACTGTCTGCTCCCCAGACCAACCTTAGGTCCTTCCTTGCTCGGTGTCCTTCTCCGGTTCCAGCAGCACTCCACAGCCATCAGTGGAGACATCAAAGCCATGTTTCATCAGATTCGTCTTCTGCCTTCTGGCACCACACTGCTCCGGAACAAGACGCAGAGCCCACAATCTATGAATGGCAAGTACTCCCATTTGGCACCACATGCTGTGCCATATACCCTCTGCAGAGACACGCCCGGGAGCACCCAGACAGTGACCAAGAAGTCTGGGATTCAGTGGAGAATGCCTTCTATGTGGATAACTGCTTACAGAGCGTCCCACCCACTGCTGAAGTGAAAGCACTCCTCGACAAAGTCCGGAATCTCCTGTCCAAAGGTGGATTTGAGGTCAGACAGTGGGAGAGCAACACAGCAGAGGTTATCCAGCACCTCCCGCCACAAGCCAGGTCAAGTAGCAGTGAACTATGGCTGTCGCAGTCTGGCGCTAACCCACAATAGTCCACTCTAGGACTGAGATGGATCTGCATACTGGATACCCTTGGGTGCAAGCACCACTCTGCCCTGAATACCGAAACCCCCACTCTGCGCACCATCTATTGGACCCTAGCCAGTCAATACGATCCACTCGGGTATATCCTGCCATACACAACCTGGGCCAAAGTCTTAGTCTAGGACCTGTGGCAGACCAAGAGGGACTGGATTGAACCAGTATGAAAACGTATGCACTCACTAACTGTAAGTCGCTCTGGATAAGAGTGTCTGCTAAATGACTAAAATGTAAAATGTAACCAATCCACCCAGCTGACCTAGTGGAAAGATGGATCTGTTGGGAAACAGAGTTGTCGAAGCTCTCTAATGTCCAGATGTTAAGGTGTTATGTGCCACTTCATGTGTTCTGTGACGCTTCAGAGTGGGCTTATGGAGTGGTTTCCTATCTCTGAGTGGAGGATGAGGCAGGCCACACCCATGTCTCCTTTGTCATGGCCAGGTCCAGGATCGCACCCAAGAAGCAGTTGTCAATGTCTAGGCTGGAACTCATCGCTGCCCTTTCCGGAGCCCAGTTGGCCTCCACCTTGCGAGCCGAGTTCACCTTGCCAATCCAAAGGGTCATCTACTGGAGTAATTCGACCACTGTACTGACCTGGCTCAAGTCGGAGGCCTGCAGGTATAAGGTGTTCGTCGGAACTCACATTGCGGAAATCCAAGACCTAACAGAAGTCAATGACTGGAGGTATGTTGACAGCTTAAACAATCCTGCTGATGACATCACTCGTGGTAAAACTCTTAAGGAACTGTCTCAATCCCATCGCTGGAGCTTGTCCCAACCAGAGAACGAGTGGCCGACAGCCCCCGTGCCGGCGGTCCCTCCGCAACCAACTGAAGCTCATGAGTTAAGGAAGTCTGCCCAATGCTACAACATCTCTACGGAGCCAACAACAGCTCTCCCTGACCCAGCCCAATCCCAAACACTGCAGGATCTGCTCACCGCCACCAACCAGACCTCAGATGGGGTGGCTTCCATACCCACCTCCCCTGCCTCGGGGACGGCCAGGAGGACGCGGTGCGGGGCGAGTCGGATGACTGCGGTGGAAATCCCTCAACATGGATCGAGGGTGTCCCTCCTAGGGACCCAGCACCGTTCCTCCGGACCGTACCCCTCCCACTCCACGAGATACTGCAGGCCCCCCACCCGACGCCTCGAATCCAGGATGGAACGGACCGAGTACGCCGGTGCCCCCTCGATGTTCAGTGGGGGCGGAGGAACCTCACATATCTCAGACTCCTGGAGTGGACCAGCTACCACCGGCCTGAGGAGAGACACATGGAACGAGGGGTTAATACGATACTCAGGAGGAAGCTGTAACCTATAACATACCTCCTCTTTGAATGGCCCCACAAACCGCCCACCCAGCTTCCGGCAGGGCAGGCGAAGGGGCAGGTTTCGGGTCGAGAGCCAGACCCGGTCCCCCGGTGCATACACCGGAGCCTCACTGCGGTGGCGGTCAGCGCTCGCCTTTTGCCACCCGATGGCCCGCTGCAGGCGCACATGGGCAGCGTTCCAGGTCTCCTGCGAGCGCCGAAACCATTCATCCACCGCAGGTGCCTCGATCTGGCTCTGATGCCAAGGTGCCAGAACCGGCTGATAACCTAATACACACTGGAATGGAGTAAGGTTAGTGGAGGAGTGGCGGAGTGAGTTCTGGGCCATCTCTGCCCAGGGGAGGAAAACCGACCTCTCCCCCAGCCGATCCTGGCAATACGACCTCAGAAACCTATCCACCTCCTGGTTGACTCTCTCCACCTGCCCGTTACTCTCGGGGTGAAACCCTGAGGTAAGGCTGACCGAGACTCCCAGACGTTCCATGAACGCCCTCCAGACCCTCGAGGTGAACTGGGAACCCCGATCAGACACTATATCCTCAGGTACCCCATAGTGCCGGAAGACGTCTGTAAATAGGGCCTCAGCAGTCTGTAGGGCCGTAGGGAGACCGGGCAGAGGAATGAGGCAGCAGGACTTAGAAAACCGATCCACAATGACCAGGATCGTGGTGTTCCCTTGTGAGGGGGAAAGATCCGTCACGAAATCCACCGATAGGTGGGACCACGGTCGTTGTGGAACGGGTAGGGGTTGCAATTTCCCTCTGGGCAGGTGTCTAGGAGCCTTACACCGAGCAGGAGGAAACATAAACCGTCACGTCCTTAGCTAAGGTGGGCCACCAGTACTTCCCATTAAGACAATGCACTGTCCGACCGATACCAGGATGACAAGAGTAGGGTGACGTGTGAGCCCAATAGATCAAACGATCGCGGACCTCCAGCGGGACGTACACACGTTCGTTACGCAATGCCCACTCGATGTTCGCGTCAACCTCCCCACACCACCGGTGCCACCAGACACGACGTCGGAAGTATGGGAGTGGGCTCCACGGAACTCTCCTCCGTGTCATATAGTCGGGACAGAGCATCTGCCTTAGCGTTCTGGGAACCTGGCCTGAAAGAAACACAAACACAAAACGGGTGATAAACATGGACCACCTTACCTGCAAGGGTTTAATCTCCACGCCGCCGGATGTACTCCAGATTGCGGTGGTCAGTCAAAATGAGAAAAGGGTGTTTAGCCCCCTCAAGCCAATGTCTCCACGCTTTCAGAGCTTGGACTACAGCCAACAGCTCCCGGTCCCCCACATCATAGTTGCGCTCCGCCGGGCTGAGCTTCTTTGAAAGGAATGCACAGGGGCGGAGTACAGAGCCTATCCCAGCCTCTGACGCGTCCACCTCAACCGTGAACACCAAGGAGGGATCCGGATGAGCCAGCACTGGAGCCGAGGTAAACAGGTTCTTCAGGTGACTAAAAGCCCTGTCCGCCTCAGCTGACCACCGCAGACGCACCGGTCCCCCCTTCAGCAATGAGGTAATGGGAGCTGCTACCTGCCCAAAGCCCCGGATAAACCTCCGGTAGTAGTTGGCAAACCCCAAGAATCGCTGCACCTCCTTCACCGTGGTTGGAGTCGACCAATTACGCACAGCCGAAATGTGGTCACTCTCCATCCTCACCCCAGACGCGGACATGTGGTACCCTAGGAAGGAGATGGACTCCTGAAAGAACAGGCATTTCTCCGCCTTGGCATACAGGTCATGCTCGTCCAAGCACCTTACGCACCAGGGACACATGCTCGGCCCGTGTAGCGGAGTATATGAGAATGTCATCAATATACACCACTACACCTTGTCCGTGCAGGTCCCTGTAAATCTCATCAACAAAGGATTGGAAGACTGATGGAGCATTCATCAACCCGTATGGCATGACGAGGTACTCATAGTGTCCTGAGGTGGTACTGAATGCCGTTTTCCACTCATCTCCCTCCCGAATACGCACCAGGTTGTACGCGCTCCTGAGATCCAATTTCGTGAAGAAGCGCGCCCCGTGCAATGACTCCGTCATACAAGCTATCAGAGGTAGTGGATAGCTGTACTTGACGGTGATCTGATTAAGACCACGGTAATCAATGCACGGGCGTAACCCACCATCCTTCTTCTTCACGAAAAAGAAACTTGAGGAAAACAGGTGAAGTGGAAGGCCGAATGTATCCCTGTCTCAGAGATTCGGAGACATATGTTTCCATAGCTGCCTTCTCCTCCTGTGACAGAGGATACACGTGACTCCGGGGAAGTGCAGCGCCCACCTGGAGATTTATCGCACAATCCCCTGGACGATGGAGTGGTAATTTAGTCGCCCTCTTTTTACTGAAGGTGAGAGCCAAATCGGCATACTCGGAGGGAATGTGCATGGTGGAGACCTGGTTTGGACTCTCCACCATAGTAGCCCCTAAGGAAACCCCTACACACCTCCCTGAGCACTGACTGGACCATCCCTTTAGAGCCCTCTGTTGCCATGAAATAGTTGGGTCATGAATGGTTAACCAGGGAAGTCCCAACACCACAGGATATGCAGGAGAATCAATAAGATAGAGACTAATCCTCTCCTCATGACCCCCCTGCGTGCTCATTAAGAGTGGAGTGGTGACCTCCCTGATTAGGCCTGACCCTAATGGGCGACTATCTAATGCATGCACAGGGAAGGGCACATCAACACGTACAGTGGGAATCCCTAAACTAAGTGAATACTGACGATCAATAAAATTCCCAGCTGCGCCTGAATCTACTAGCGACTTATGTTGGGAAAAGCAACCTCAATACACATATGAGCAACAGGGAGCTCTGGGTGAGTCGGGTGCTTACTCACCTGAGACGGTCGACTAGTACTCTGCCTACTGCCTCGACTCCCTGGGGACCCTCCCCAGCACCGACCAGCAGTGTGTCCTCTGCGGCCACAGTTGGTGCAGGGGACGGCCCCTCTACTGGTCTCCCTAAGCGCAGCACCTCCGAGCTCCATGGGGGCAGGGTCGGAGGTGCTGGGGGATGGAATGGACGGGCCCCGATCAGAACGTCCGCGGGTTTCCAACAGGTTATCCAGCCTGATGGACATATCCACCAGTTGGTCCAGGTTGAAGTTGGTATCCCTGCAGGCCAGTTCTCGATGAACGTCCTCCCCTAGGCTGCATCGATAGTGGTCGATCAGGGCCCTCTCATTCCATCCTGCGCTGGCTGCCAGAGTCCTGAACTCCAGCGCAAAATCCTGCGCGCTCCTCCTCTCCTGTCTTAGGTGGAACAGATGTTCACCCGCCGCTCTCCCCTCCGGTGGATGATCGAATACCGCCCGAAAGCGGCGGGTGAAATCCTCGTAGCGGACTGATGTAGCGTCTATACCTCCCCACTCGGCGTTGGCCCACTCGAGTGCCTTCCCCGACAGACAGGAGATGAGGGCAGACACGCTCTCGTATCCCGAGGGCGCCGGGTGAATGGTTGCCAGGTAGAGCTCTACCTGGAGAAGAAAACCCTGACACCCGGCTGGTGTTCCGTCGTATGCCCTCGGGAGCGAGAGCCGAATCCCACTGGACCCAGGTGGCGAAGGGGTGGACAGTGGTGTGGGAGGTTGAGTGGTTGGAGGAGGTGTATAGTGTTAACCACTCTCTCCATAGTGGTGCCGTGAGCCTGGATCATGCTCTCCTGTCGTTGGACGCGTTCCTCCATCGATCCGGACAGACTGGCTGTACCTGCTGACTCCATGGTGGTGCGTGTTTCTGTCACGAGTGTCAGTGTAATGCGGTGGATCGAAGTCAGGCGCAGGACACAGAACTCAATGAAAACGTACTTTACTAACAAGTAAAGAAACAAATACAAAATACCTCCACACAGGGAGGAGTAAACCCATTTTACATTTTTTAAATTGTTTTGTCATTTAGCAGACGCTCTTATCCAGAGCGACTTACAGTTAAGTTAGTTTTTTTTTTTTTTTTTTTATACTGGCCCCCCGTGGGAATCAAACCCACAACCCTGGCATTGCAAACACCATGCATTACCAACTGAGCTACATCCCTGCCGGCCATTCCCTCCCCTACCCTGGACGACGCTGGGCCAATTGTGCGCCGCCCCATGGGTCTCCCGGTCGCGGCCGGCTACGACAGAGCCTGGATTCGAACCAGGATCTCTAGTGGCACAGCTAGCACTGCGATGCAGTGCCTTAGACCACTGCGCCAATCGGGAGACTGACGCTCACCAAACGACACACAAAACGAATAACAAACACGCACAAAACACAATGGGAGCCACCGGGTTAAATAGGGAAGGAGTAATTGCCTGATGGGAAACAGGTGTGAGACAATCAGACAACAACAGGTAGAACATAGAAACATAGATCGGCAGCAGCTAGTACTCCGGTGACGACGAACGCCGAAGCCTGCCGGAGCAAGGAGGAGGGGCAGCCTCGGCAGAATCCGTGACACTTGCGGACTGTCCTGATAGAGATGGAAGGGATACTGAACTCCAAACCCTTGGGATATCTCTCTACAGACATTGCTGACCCAGATCCGGTCACACCGAATCTGCTCTTGATGGGGCACCGAGATGTCTCACTTCCTCAAGCCATGTATGCTGATACCAACCTCGTTGGCAGATGCCGGTGGTGGCACAGCCAGGTCTTAGCTGACCATTTCTGGGCCTGATTCATTCGGGATTACCTACCAAGCCTACAGCACAGAGGGAAATGGTGGAGTGAAAAGGCCAGCCTGGACACTGGCCAAGTAGTAATGATAGTGGACCCTCAACTGCCTCAAGCCTCCTGGCGGATGGGCCATATCACTGAAACCATGCCTGGGACCAACAGTCGTGTTAGATCAGTGGAGATCCAGGTAAAGAACCGGACATATATCCAGCCAGTTGCCCAACTAATTCCTCTCCCTGAGATGACAGAGGATGGGGAGCGATGAGCCTTTTGAGGAATGTGGAATTTAACACATTTCCGGGGTGGCTGTAGAAAAGGCCCATGGAGTTGGTGGAATCGCCCTTTAATTCATGGCCACTTGCGCAGCTGGGCCAGAGCGCTTTAATTAGGTCAGGTGGAAATATCCGACAGATCTCAACTCATTAAAAGGAGGAAATCGCCACTGCCCGACCTCGCTGCTTTCTCTCCCCCAACTCCGTCTAATCGAGACATTGTGTGTCCACAAATCAACGTAAATCGACCAAATCTGTTATCTTTCATCTGAACTATCTGTTGCGATTGGGAGAGCGGGCCATCAGTTATTGTTTATAGTTATTAACACGGAGCGCGGCTTGGAGCGCACGCTTCGAACCTATTGTGTTATGTCAATGGACAATGATCACGGCCCTACATATCATCACAGGCCAATTATGCCATTGATATATGGTTAAAATGTAACGAAATAACATGTACATATGAAGACAAACCTGGAAGGATGAAATATGAAACTTAATCATTGGGTTCTTGGTCACCTCCCTGACCAAGGCCCTTCTCCCTCGATTGCTCAGTTTGGCCGGGCGGCCAGCTCTAGGAAGAGTCTTAGTGGTTCCAAACTTCTTCCATTTAAGAATGATGGAGACCACTGTGTTCTTTGGAAACTTCAATGCTGCAGAAATATTTTGGTACCCTTCCCCAGATCTGTGCCTCGACACAATCCTGTCTCTGAGCTCTACGGACAATTCCTTCGACTTCATGGCTTTTGCTCTGACATGCACTGTCAACTGTGGGACCTTATATAGACAGGTGTGCGCCTTTCCAAATCATGTTCAATCAATTTAATTTACAACAGGTGGATTCCAATCAAGTTGTAGAAACATCAAGGATGATCAATGGAAACAGGATGCACCTGAGCTCAATTTCGAGTCTCATAGCGCAGGGTCTGAATACATGTAGATAAGGTATTTCTGTTCTTTATTTTTGATAAATTAGCAAGAATTTCTGGGGACCTGTTTTTGATTTGTCATTGTGGGGTATTGTGTGTAGATTGCTGAGGAAAATGTTTTATTTAGTCAATTTTGGAATGGGGTTGTCACATGGCAGGGTGTGGAGGGGTCAAGGGGTCTGAATGCTTTCCGAAGGCACTGTATGTAAATACCTGATGACACAAGGAGAGTAATTTGTTTCCATGTTGGAGGAAAGGATGGAGGAAAGGACGGGAGGATTCGAGGAACTCCAATTGAGAGAGGGCCTGAGTGTTCTTCTCTGCTATAACATAGCAAAAAAATAAAAAAATAAAAATATATGAAACGTAATTATTATTTGCTAAATTGATAAATCCTGATATCAAACTGATTAAGATTATAGATAGAATAATTGATAACTGATCGATTTATTTGCATGATCATTCTCATGATTATGATGAATGGTTATGATCCTAAATGACTCAATCATGCTTCATATTGAATTTCTATTGAACTGAATGGCTGAATTACCTCATGTTAATAATGAGAATGATTGTTATGATTTGACTTTTGTGATTATGAATTTGCTTGGATACATGTTATTCTGTTTCCTTTGTTATGCAGCACAGACAAACTACCCAGTAAATATACCACCTTGTGGTTAAAGGAATTACTGCCTCAGTCTCCTCCATTTCTCTCAGTCACCTGACCCGTGACCACCTGTTCACCTTCACTATTGTCAGTCATCCTACCTGGCCTGCTACCCACACAGATTCCAATAATCTTTCAGATACCGTAAGGGGTCGGGGGACACTGTGGCCCCGTCCAACAATACCCTGCTCTCCCATAGCATACCAGGGAGGGAGTGACTCCCTGGACCTGTCTAATGACAAACTGTTGTTTTCGTACTAATGAAAATGACCAGTGTGTGGGAGGATACCCTGTTCCCAGATATGCTTTATAGCCAAGTCCTATGGTCATACCAGTTGGCTATACAACATAAACTGATTTGGGACCAGCTGCTATGAGGAGGAAGTGGAGGCTTCTGTGGGATCCAGGGGATTCATTACATTCTCATTGTCCTATAATTATGACATCATCATTATCCAGAGCACAGCTGTATCGTCTGTCGGTCCAAAATGAATCTCTGCTCCCAGAACCAGATCAGCTACTCTGTTCAAAGCTTCAACAAGAGCATAGTGCAAAACAAGATGAAGATGTTCAGTCGATATGGATGTTTTTGATTTATGAGGATGTGCTAGGTTCCATTAACATCCTGGTATCTGGTGTCCTGTGATTTAAAAAATGAGCAGGGTGTTGACCATTCTTTTATTTCTCAATGGTGTTGACAAGCAGTTTGGGGGGGTTGGATATGGTATTTGTAGTTTTTATACCCTCTAGTGGTATGCTATGGGAGAGCAGTGTTACATCAAACCGTCAACAACTCACTGATACATGAGGATAAATGTAATCTATCGCCATGCATATGTAATGAAATAAATAAATGGCGTTTTAAGAAATGTTATTTTAAAAGCTTTATGACAGATAAAGTGAAGTAAACATTGATTGCCAAAAGGCTACCTGACTGATTGAAAAGCACTTTACCTGAAAGCTTGGGGAAAGGAGAGAGAGAGAGAGAGAGAGAGAGAGAGAGAGAGAGAGAGAGAGAGAGAGAGAGAGAGAGAGAGAGAGAGAGAGAGATGCAAATGCTGACCTTGGTTTCTATCCCATCATGTAAATTGTTATGGCTGTGTGTGTGTGTCCAGTTTGCATACAATGACTGGACAGAGTGAGATGGAACATCTGGTCACCATGACTCATGAGGACACTTGTCATGGTTGAGAGAAGGCTTGGACTTCTGATTAGTGTTAAATAATTTATTCACATCTGTAAATACCATATGCAATTACATACAGTATGCTGATGTTTTAGTATCTGGATCACAGTTGACAGATGTTCTTCCTTTGTAAATTCTGTTTGACATTTATAGAAATGTGACACTCAATCAATAAGAGTTGATTTTGAGTGTGTCAGAGACCATTCCAGAACAACAATCTAACACTATCGGTCAGCATTAGAGTATAAAAGGAAGTTTAATCATTGATTGTTTGCAGGATGCCACTAATACAAACAGTACTACTCACGGTAGCCTTTAAACCAACATTCAGGGCATTCTGATTCTACAATGGTTTAGCAAAGAAACAACAATGCTTCTGAGGAAGACAAAAGTTGATTCCGCAAGTATGAGGCACACCCAGCAGCATAATTCTGACTCGAAGGCTCATTAGTTTTGAAATTACAATATCTTTGTTGTGGAACCTCTCTGAGCCAAGTTGATCACACCAATAGTGCATGACCATTTCCAGATAGGAAAACTAAATAAAATCTTACAAACACATCTTTTTTGGGGGGGTTGACCTCAGAATTATGCTTTTTATGTAATCTACGATGAGTAAAAAGTAATGAATTTAGGGTGCCAAAGTAACGAGAGGCCAAAGGAAACATTTCATCAAGATTCTACAAGGAGCCATTTGATGTTTGGTTTAATTTAAAAACATATTTTTTAAAGTCTACACATAGCAGTAATAACAACAGACAGACACACTGTACATCATCATAACATTTCTGAGACATTATGTACAAAAACTCAAGTAAGGTTCCGCCATTGGGTACTCTAACAAAAAATACAGTCGTGGTCAACAGTTTTGAGAATTACACAAATATTAATTTTCACAAAGTCTGCTGCCTAAGTTTTTATGATGGCAATTTGCATATACTCCAGAATGTTATGAAGAGTGATCAGATGAATTGCAATTAATTGCAAAGTCCCTCTTTGCCATGAAAATGAACTTAATCCTCCGTACTTTCAGGCTCTGATCAGTCCCTACACCCAAACGAGGGCATTGCGTTCATCCACCTCTGGCCTGCTGGCTCCCCTACCTCTGCTGAAGCACAGTTCCCGCTCAGCCCAGTCAAAACTGTTCGCTGTTCTGGCACCCCAATGGTGGAACAAGCTCCCTCACGACGCCAGGACAGCGGAGTCACTCACCACCTTCCGGAGACATTTGAAACCCCACCTCTTTAAGGAACACCTGGGATAGGATAAAGTAATCATTCTACCCCCCCCCCCCCCACCCTTACCCCACCCCACCCCCCCAAAACAAAAAACAAAAAATAACTAGAAAAGACACAAAAAAAGATAAAAGATAAAAAATATAAATATATTGGTAAAGTGGTTATCCCACTGGCTATAAGGTGAATGCACCAATTTGTAAGTCGCTCTGGATAAGAGCGTCTGCTAAATGACGTAAATGTAAATGTAAAAACATTTCCACTGCATTTCAGCCCTGCCACAAAGGACCAGCTGACATCATGTCAGTGATTCTCTCGTTAACACAGGTGAGAGTGTTGACGAGGACAAGGCTGGAGATACTTTGTCATGCTGATTGAGTTAGAATAACAGACTGGAAGCTTTAGAATGAGGGTGGTGCTTGAAATCATTGTTCTTCTTCTGTTAACCATGGTTACCTGCAAGGAAACACGTGCCATCATCATTGCTTTGCACAAAAAGGGCTTCACAGGCAAGGATATTGCTGCTAGTAAGATTGCACCTAAATCAACCATTTATCGGATCATCAAGAACTTCAAGGAGAGAAGTTCAATTGTTGTGAAGAAGGCTTCAGGGCGCCCGAGAAAGTCCAGCAAGCGCCAGGACCATCTCCTAAAGTTGATTCAGCTGCGGGATCGGGGCACCACCAGTGCAGAGCTTGCTCAGGAATGGCAGCAGGCAGGTGTGAGTGCATCTGCACGCACAGTGAGGCGAAGACTTTTGGAGAATGGCCTGGTGTCAAGAAGGACAGCGAGGAAGCCACTTCTCTCCAGGAAAAACATCAGGGACAGACTGATATTTTGCAAAAGGTACAGGGATTGGACTGCTGAGGACTGGGGTAAAGTCATTTTCTCTGATGAATCCCCTTTCTGATTGTTTGGGGCATCCGGAAAAAAGCTTGTCCGGAGAAGACAAGGTGAGCACTACCATCAGTCCTGTGTCATGCCAACAGTAAAGCATCCTGAGACCATTCATGTGTGGGGTTGCTTCTCAGCCAAGGGAGTGGGCTCACTCACAATTTTGCCTAAGAACACAGCCATGAATAAAGAATGGTACCAACACATCCTCCGAGAGCAACTTCTCCCAACCATCCAAGAACAATTTGGTGACGAACAATGCCTTTTCCAGCATGATGGAGCACCTTGCCATAAGGCAAACGTGATAACTAAATGGCTCGGGGAACAAAACATCGACATTTTGGGTCCATGGCCAGGAAACTCCCCAGACCTTAATCCCATTGAGAACTTGTGGTCAATCCTCAAGACGGGTGGACAAACAAAACCCCACAAATTCTGACAAACTCCAAGCATTGATTATGCAAGAATGGGCTGCCATCAGTCAGGATGTGGCCCAGAAGTTAATTGACAGCATGCCAGGGCGGATTGCAGAGGTCTTGAAAAAGAAGGGTCAACACTTCAAATATTGACTCTTTGCATAAACTTAATGTAATTGTCAATAAAAACCTTTGACACTTATGGAATGCTTGTAATTATACTTCAGTATACCATAGTAACATCTGACAAAAATATCTAAAAACACTGAAGCAGCAAACTTTGTGAAGACCAATACTTGTGGCATTCTCAAAACTTTTGACCACGACGGTACAGTTAACAATCCTGAAACCAAGGAACAACAAAAGTGCCAATGTGGGAGTGTTTGATGTTGGAGGCCAGAAAACATTTCCAAGTAAGCCCATCCATCAAAATATACATTATTATAAATGATCACACCACAAAAAGACCTTCACTTATATCTTTAAACCACAGCCTAAATCTAAAAGGACAATCAGTCTTATCAGTCTAAATAGTCAATCAGTGCTTAATATCCATGCCACGGTGAATGGTGCTTTTTCCTCTTTTTAAATGTTCAAACCTTGCTGTAGTATACTGCCCATTCCCTCTTAGGCAAGTCGTGAGCGTGACCGTTGGCATATCCATTTGGCCCTCCGCTGACTCCATGGTCCTCTCCATTTGGTATGAGCCCTTCATGGGATTCTCCATCCGGCTGTTCCTTCCTCAGTGCCAGAGGCGGCTTACACGTGTGCCAATTCCACAGAACTTTATTCATATCGTCCTGGTCACGGATCCCTAGAAGCTTGTCCTCGTCGCTCTTCTTCTTGTCATCATCATCATCATCGCTATCGTCTTTGCTTGACCGGTGCTTGTGGAAGCTGCGCATCTCGCCACTGATGCTCTCGAAGTACTGCTGGATGCAGACCTTGGCGAAGGTCTTGGCGTGCTCTTTGCATGTCTCGTCGAAGAGCTTGCGTTCGACGTCGACGTAATGAGACCAGTATTTGGTTTTGAGGAAGGCAGCTTGGGTGAAGCAGGGTCGGATGGCTCGTATCATGAAGGCTGCAAAGGTCATCATCAGCAGGAATACCCAGCCAAATGCCTACAGAGAAACACATGATGATAATACATAAACAAAGACCTTGCTTTACCACTACAACAAACTTACTTTGAACCAATGGCCCGGTTCACACTTAGGTTGGACAACTGATGTACAATGGATTTAACACAACAGCTGTCATACAACAGATATTTTTAAAAGAGTTTGTCTGCACCTAAATGTGAACTAGGTGAATATGGTAACTATCAAGGGCAACTTACCTGGGATATACACTTGATGTATCTCGATGCAGCTTCTCTCGATATCACCTCGGGCTGATCGAAGATATTCTTGCACGGAATCTTCGCTAACAATTTAACAATCTCCACTTCCGTCATTCCCTCAATGAGGGTAGAATTCCCAAACTGACGAATGTCCAAGTTCACGCTGAATGCACACAAGAAGCTCTTGCCATCCATAAGAGTCACAGATATCCACACCATGGGCGCGATCAAGGACCGCTGCGTGATCGAAACGAACATGTAACGAAGGATTGTCGGATCCTTCACCCTCTTCCCTGTCGGTCTTTTCCACTCCTCAGCTAACATCGAAACATTGTTATTCAACACAAACCCTAGTAGGAAGAACCATATAGGTGGGATAACCAGTAGTCCAATCCCATAAGCGTAGTTGTACTCCGGGATACAAGGGCAGCTAATCTCGAAGGCTGAGTAGAGCTGGGCGCTGGCTAGGGCCATGATACCACAGATGCCGTTCATAAAGGACTCCTGGTTGGATTGGAGGAACTGGAACATCATACGGAACTTATCCATCTTGAATGATCTGGTGGTAGTGCCTCTTTAAATGTACTGAGATCTGTAGAAAACGTAGAGGCAGTCAATAATGTGATGGGGCCCAAAATGTGAAAGGCACTCGGTCATATGATGTGGGAGAAATCTTGTAGCCCTGTGTCCGTGTAAATTTGCAACTCACAAAACGTAGACAAAGAAGTAAATGAAGATGTTGTTTACAAGCAGTACTGACTGAACAATTGAATCAATCTCGCATTGCTTTATAATGAAACATCAATGGTTTGAGTGTCTGAAGACCTCACAAATCAATCAAGAATTACTTGACATTTTTATTGAACAACTGGTAAATCAATGTTCAGTTTCTTTCCAGCAAGCAATCAATTATTTGAGTGTCTGAAAAAGACAACAAAATAGACAGTGAGAAATCAATAATCTCAGTAAATGAAAAAAGGCCTACTTACCTCACAATAGGCTTTTCTCCTCTTCCAAGTATGCAGGTGATGAAATAATCTCAAATAATGATAAGGCAACAAATGGATGATGATGTATATTTCCTCAACTTCTCTTGATACACTCCAGCTTTGCCAAACCTCTTGGTATACTAACTCTGCTCTTTCTAGTATGCCATCTTTGATTAAATCAAGTTCAAGTTCAATGATCTCAAATGATAAGGCTGAAAATGTATGGCAAATAATTATCCAGGTACTTTTGGAATAATGTTGATTCTGATGCTCACTCAACTCTTCTAGAACAGTCTATGGGGATGTAGAACAGTAGAAAGCAAAGGCAAGATCACATCATCTGTCACCAGCTAGGCCCCTCCCTGCAAAGGAACCTGCACTCCTTTCTCTGTTGTACTGATGTAACAGGTTTCCCATCTCCCTCTCTCCATTGTCCCAAGAGCAAACATGTTACAGTCCCTAGAAAATACTTGGGCTAATGCTTTGCAGACTTTAGTCTGCCATAAGACAGTAATGACTCATGACTTTCAAGAAGAGGTGAGAACCATCTCAAGCTAGAGCAACTAATATGTATTGTCTTTTTATTCTACTATATGTCGGTCTGTGAAATGCATTTTTTTTTTTAAATCTACCTTTATATGCCTATTTATAATCATATAAAGAAGAGGTTTGATAAGTCTATTTGCAGTTGTCTGGACAGGATGAGTTGGCTTTCTGGCTCTAACCAGAGTGACACAGCTGAAATTCCCACAGCTGAGATGCAAAAATAGTTTCAGCCCATTCAAATGATCTGTGTTCTTCGCTCTGAAATATTTGTTCACAGATTAATGAATCACTGTTTCCACTTGAGAATCACAGTGGTGTGACTGGCATCTCTGTATTTAACAATATTATTTATAGACCAAATACATTACTTTATAATTAATTATACCTATAAACATACAATATACTGCTGTCATCTTATATACCCTAGTCACACGTGACTTTTACCATATATTACATAACATTTAGCCATCCTCTGGCCTGCCTTCTTGTGTTGAGTCTTACCTATACAATAGTAATGGGCTTTATGTGGCATCCAACTGCACATAGGAGAATGAGGCAGAGCCGGACAAACCAGTTAAAACTAGCTAATACCAGTTCATACCCCACAGGACCATATAAAAGCCTGTGTTTAGTCCCTTATTGTGGGACATGTAATTCTCCATACATTGTTAGCTTTTGTTTGAACAGCATTGTTATTGTGTGTGTATGATCAAAAACATGGAGTATTCTATGATTCCACTCATGGCATCACATAATGATACTGTATATTACTATTATCTGGTGTTGTCCTGCTATCCAGTAGCTTTAGATGTATATCAGTTGTAGTATCTTTCTGTACAGACGGCAAAGGAATTTACTCAAATAAAGTTCAGTTTACTCTGGATTTACTCTGACAGCCACAGAAGAGAAGGATGTAGCAGACTTGAGAACTTTGGAAGACAACTGTCTTCTCCCCGGCTTTTTAAATGATTGTTGATCAACAATTTCAGAGACAATTAACATATCGCACAGTAGACTTAGTTGAGCATGAATTAATATAGTTCAATGAATAATTATTTATGCTTGTGCAATGAAAAAACATGGGTTGCATCAACCCAGTTCTGTTTTCACGCTTTTATTTTAACTCTGTATTGCTTAATTTATAAGCCCCCTGAAATAATTAGCTAAATCATCTAATGCGTATCAAATGCTCATAGAATAAAATCAAAAACATGGAAGAAAGGAACATATAGAAGCATTTTCAGAAGCTAAGCAAGAATGTATGAGCTTTTGAATGAATAAAATCTAAAGTCCAAATCCATTTTGGAGTCATCCATTGACTAACCAAAGAGATTATAAATGTAGTCTTGGTTTTATCTGAAACAGTATGTTTTACCACCAACTAAGTGTGTGTTTTACTTTTTTTTAATGAATAGTTATTTATTGATAAGATTTCCCATTAGACATTTATATTTATTTTCAGATTGTTTCAAAATTGCTTTATTGGCATGACAAACATTGAGCTAATATTGCCAAAGCATCACTACAACTGCATTGAGTCTTATACATAGTAATAAATAAAGATACACTAGCAGCAAATAACAATAAAAAGGACAATAGGCTAAACATGTTAACAATAACATGCTACCACCATTACATCTCACTCAGAATAGCTACTGTGACGATAAGGCAGGAAGAACATTCTGTTTTAGAATACTGTAGTGCAAATGGTATAGCCCCGTGTTCTACTGTGCACGTTCTGTATGCATGATAGCCGCTCATTGGTTAGTGGGCGTGCCATGTTGACGTTAGCCAGTTTTCCCACAGCTAGAAGGTTTGCTCGTATGCTCATCGCACGGACATGGACATCGATCTGTGCCCGAGCAAGAGTGCCTAGACATATACTGGTGATAACACAGGCTAAGAACAAATCTACTGGATGCCAGTATCGTCATGTGAATTCCCATCATCATCATCATCATCATACCTGTATCATCTGCAGTGATTGACTTGGGCAGGAGCTCACTGGAGTGGAGTACCGGCACCTCAAATGTTCTACTGCTTGAGCTTCTGTTCCTACCGTATTCTACTTGAGATACGTCTGTAGTTGGCTCTGCTTCTTCATGTACATGAAGCTCAAGGTCAAAAGTACATACAGTGGGGGGAAAAAGTATTTAGTCAGCCACCAATTGTGCAAGTTCTCCCACTTAAAAAGATGAGAGAGGCCTGTAATTTTCATCATAGGTACACGTCAACTATGACAGACAAATTGAGAATTTTTTTCTCCAGAAAATCACATTGTAGGATTTTTTAATGAATTTATTTGCAAATTATGGTGGAAAATAAGTATTTGGTCACCTACAAACAAGCAAGATTTCTGGCTCTCACAGACCTGTAACTTCTTCTTTAAGAGGCTCCTCTGTCCTCCACTCGTTACCTGTATTAATGGCACCTGTTTGAACTTGTTATCAGTATAAAAGACACCTGTCCACAACCTCAAACAGTCACACTCCAAACTCCACTATGGCCAAGACCAAAGAGCTGTCAAAGGACACCAGAAACAAAATTGTAGACCTGCACCAGGCTGGGAAGACTGAATCAGCAATAGGTAAGCAGCTTGGTTTGAAGAAATCAACTGTGGGAGCAATTATTAGGAAATGGAAGACATACAAGACCACTGATAATCTCCCTCGATCTCGGGCTCCACGCAAGATCTCACCCCGTGGGGTCAAAATGATCACAAGAACGGTGAGCAAAAATCAACGGTCACGCTCACGACTTGCCTTACAGTGTGTGAAAACCTTGTGAAGACTTACAGAAAACATTTGACCTGTGTCATTGCCAACAAAGGGTATATAACAAAGTATTGAGAAACTTTTGTTATTGACCAAATACTTATTTTCCACCATAATTTGCAAATCAATTCATAAAAAATCCTACAATGTGATGTTCTGGATTTTTTTCTTCTCATTTTGTCTGTCATAGTTGACGTGTACCTATGATGAAAATTACAGGCCTCTCATCTTTTTAAGTGGGAGAACTTGCACAATTGGTGGCTGACTAAATACTTTTTTCCCCCACTGTATAAAGGGAATGGTCTGTGAGGTGGTAGAGAAATAAGTGTAGCCGATCCTACACCACCCCAGGTTTATACAAGAGCTTGGGTTGAGTGGAAAAATAAAGTCAACAAAGTTGCACGTTTTATTAGTTTCTCCTTCACCATTAGTCAAAACCTCAGACTATATTTTATGCCTGGTCAAAGAGCACAAGGATCACACAGGAAACACTGTGAAATATACAAACTAACAAAAACAGATTTTGATTCAGGGTCAAGGGAATCACTACCTAAACATTAATTCAACTTAAAGTCAAGATACATCAAATATATTCTCTCAACTTAGTCAGTCAAACACTAACAACAAGCCACATGGCAACTTCCCGCTTACCTACACCTTTCCCCCAGGCGGCCATACCTCAAATAAAAAAAGAGACCCTATTTAAAGAAACAGTCAGCCACTGATATTACAGGATCAATGATTAAATTAGCAAGGCAGAAGCATGCATGATAAGCAATGGAGGCTCATTGTCACACCTGTGACAAGTTGAACCATACTACCTTACAGTGAGTGTCAAGTCAAAGTCTTCAGATTTTGCTGCCTTAAAATAAAAATGGATTACATTGGATTTTTTTCCTACCGATGTACACAACCCACTCCACATTTCCAAAGTGAAAGAACAATTATAGAACATTTTCAAAAAACATTGGGGGAGGGAGTACTCCATTTAACGCAAACTCATTATTTATCTATTTCGTTTTCTCCCCTTTTGTGCATATTCACATTCTTTACCGTCAACGGGTAATATATGTATATAAAAATAATGTTGACACTAGCATATAAAAGCGCGCTGATGTCATTGACATTGAGATAATGAGTCGGATCTGCCTCTGTGTGCCATTGTATTTTCAAGTTTTGTGGTGGCAGCTTCATGTTATGTGTATGCTTGTCACCGGCAGGGACTGAGGAGTATGTCAGG